ACACTACATACAATCTTACCATCATACACTACATACAATCTTGCCATAATACACTACATACAATAGTACCATAATACACTACATACAATCTTGCCATAATACACTACATACAATCTTGCCAAAAACAAAATTGAACTCACAAAGCTGCCTGCCAGCTTAGCAGCGACTGAGTTGCAGAGATGTAGCAGTGTTGAGACTGGTAGTTCTGTTAGCTGTTTGCCATTAGCCAAACACACTGTCCAAAACCATAAAAGTGAGTCGTAGAGCTGAGAGGTACATAGCAGTGTGTGTACTGGAAGTTCCGTTAGCTGTTACCCAGACACACTGCAAACTGTTTCCCCCCCAATTGTGTCTCTTGACGCAGAGTAGCGGAGGAGTCAGCAGACAATCAATCGTAGTATAAAAACAGGCAGTAAAGGGTGTTTTGCTTCTCAAGAGGTCCTTGAGCATGCAGCCATAACTCAATCAGTTCTTTGCAGCAAAATGCAAGACAGACACAGAGGTGCACAGTCACTCACGGAAGAACACAAGCAAACAGCTGACTGATTGGATGATCCTCCTGGCGGAGATAATAAAGATGAAATAAAGCATTGTCTGACGCATGTGGATTGATCCTACAGAGGTGTGTACAGCTCCATGTCAGAGCAGCATGTTGACAAGAGACGACAGAGTGAAGGAGCAGAACTCTGACAGGACAACGATAGATCTACCAGCTCAGGTAAAACCACATTACTATCACCTTAGAGCAGGTTTATCCCTCCAGTAAAGCCATATTATGATGAATATAGCACAGTGTCCATGTTAAATGTGGCCTTAAACTCTATATTCTCGAAATAAAAATCATATTTTTGTTTGGAGTCCGTGCATACAGAGCATACTAATTGACATCTTTCACACTTCATTCACACGTTGACACAATAACTTAAATAATAATTATTTGCAAAGCTGTCTAGTCTTTTGTAATACCGCATCCACATGTGAGATACCTGACATACCTGGATGTTTGTGCACATGTCAATGCACAACAAGTCTGTGGTTGTTTATCGATGCTCATCCTCCATGCACGGTTTATGTTATAGATTATATTACAGTACAGCATCTGTACAATGAATAAAAAGACTGTGATAGGCCCTTTGACAGTAGATAATACTACTTTAATCTGACCAATGTTTCAAAGTTAACTTGCTTACAATGTTTGTGTGGTTTGGACAGAAGTTACAGAGGGTGAAAAGTGAGTCTATAATAGGGAGGTCATTTGTATGTCAGCCAAATCAGATCCACGATTCACTGTGATCTACTTTGTAATCTTGAATCTGCTTTTATAAGGCCCTTTTATATCTGCCCTGTGTTCTTCTGGATTTTGTACCGTTTGGTGCTTTTCATGCCAACGGCTGATAGTTGAGAGGGGGACAGGACAGCAATCTCTTCCACACAGCAGAGAATAAAATGATAGGGTGGTGCCAGTCTGATAAGGTGACTTTTTGTGTGAGCATAGACTGAGAGGGAACATGTGTTTCTGAAGGTTTAGCTCTGCCATCAGCTTACTTGTTACATGCCTTGACTTCAATCTTAAGGCATGCAACATTTTAGTGGTGGAAATAGAAAATACTCCATCACAAGTGAAATGAAAAGCATGCAAATATGTTTTAGTAGAAACCTGAAAATGTGTATGATGTGTCCATTAATCAATGTGCAAGCTAAGCAACATTTTACCATTGAGGTGGAGTTTCTTCTACATTACATGCAGTTAATGCTGAATATGTGTACACTGCATTGAATGCTCATATTGTTGCTTTATTGCAGGGTGGTGAAACTGCAGCTGACACAGCAGAATCAATACACGCCACAGGAATACTAAAGAAGTTACAGAACCTGGTGCAAACAAAGAAGGCACATCAGGCTGGAGCTGGGAGAGGGAAGAGGACATCGGAGAATAATGGTGAGTCATTGTGGATGATGTTGTTCAACCTGCTCAAGAAGCTGCGTTGAATCAATACCAGTAACTTCTTCTAATCTTCAGATCACTTGGCAGATGTGTCGAGTAGCAACAATCCAGTGCTAACCTGCATCGGCCTGGGGAAGAGAGCAGAGAACAAGCCCTCCATGACGACTCCATCACCACAGCGGCAACAGCAGCTGACCAGAGATGTCCATGAAGATTCAGAAGAGGAAGGAGTTTGGAGTCCACAGCTTGGAAATTATCAGTGGAACCCATTTGAGTGTCCGCAGCCCTGGACTCCCTTCTACCACACCTGTCGCCAACCTCGACACGAGCCGTCGGTGTGCGGCGGCACCTTGCCGCTGCCCCGGACGACTGAGTGGGATCGCTTTGAGAGTTTGATACAGGAACTGGACAGCAAACAGTCTGATCTGTCTCCTCCAGAAATGATCCGCTTCATCACGGATCTGCCGCTCCCACAGAACACAGTAAGATATACCTGAGTGACATTACCACCAGAAAATGAGATCGACTAAATGAACCATTAGTGTTGTTGGTGCAACCACAACATCTTCAAAGGAATAGTTCGACATATTGGGAAATCCCCTTATTTGCTTTCTACCAGAGTTAGACGAGAAGATTTACACTAATATCTGTCTGTTAAAGCTTCATTCGTGAGTTTAAAAGTTCAATTAACATGTCATATTTAGTTTGTTTCATGCATTCCACAACCTGAGTGTAAAAACGACATGACCAGACTGTGCCGGACTATTTCTTGGCTGGGAGCAGTAACTCTTTGGAGTCTCCTAGCCAAGAAATAACCGGCACATGATCGCCATGAAAAAGTGGATTGTCGTTTTTACACTTTGTTTTTCACATGGATTCAACAAACCTATAAAAGCATTTATTTATGAGCTTTAGAGGCGTTGGTAGGTGGATTTTGTTACCTTTAGACTGAGAAAAGTTAGCCGCTTCCCCCTTATTCCAGTCTTTATGCTAAGCTAAGCTAACTGGTGGCTTGCTTGCTATTGCCTTGCAGTATATTTAACAGACAGACTTTCTGCCTTATAGCAAATACTACGGTGGCCTTCAGGTAACGTAAAAACTCCTAAAGCCCTATCTAGAGCCAGTGTTTGGTTGGTCCCTTCTGGGCTACTGTAGAACATGGTGGTGCTACATGAACAGCTCTGTGAAGAGGACCTGCTCCATATATAGATATGAAGGGCTCATTCTAATCTAATGGTAACACAAGAATTCTTAATTTCAGGTGATTATACACTAAAGAAAACATGTTTATGAATTTTATATTCCATTTCTGCTGATACATTCCCCTAAATGCTACACACTGGCCCTTTAAGTGTCTTCCTCTTGAAACATGGTGGAAGTTATTGCTCCATGAGCCTTTCACTCCATCTGGTTATTGCTACAAATCGTTATTTTAACGTCAACAGTTCTTCCTATTGAGGTTTGGTGGAAAAGAGCAGACCAACACATTTCCTGTGAGGTCTGACCTGGGTGGAGAAAGAGCCTGTGTTCAAATGTAACGACATTGTTTGCTTACAGTATTTATTGTTAAGATGTTGATGTTTATTTTTCCTTGTTTTGTATGAAACAACAGAAACCAACAGAAGCTACAGTCTCTGTTGTTGCAGCCTGCTCCCAGATGGTCTAAAGGATCATTAAAGTGGGCTTTGCATGGCCTGACTTTCTAATTGCACCTCAGAGCTCTTTGGGGAACATTTAGACCAACTGAACCATAATTAAAATTTCCAAATGATACTTTGTTTATTTTGAAATTGCGTTTCAGGTATTCTGAACATCTTAAAGATTAGTTTTTTGCAGCCTCAGTGAGCACAGCTAATGCATCATATATTGCTTTTTAATCATACCTAAAACATGAATTGAAGTCAGTTGTGTTCTAAGTGTGTTGATGAAGAAGTTCTCTTTAAATCACATGTAACAGCTAATATCCCATAGAGTTTATAGATGAAATAAGGGATCCAGAGGAGATTCATGAGAGGCTCCTGCATGAAGGAGGGATGCAGTGACAGGGTCTATACCACTCTGTCAAGTGACATCTATGTTGCGCGTCTGTGTGTGTGTGTGTGTGTGTAGAGGTCCCGCTTGTGCAAATCAAACAGCCGCACACGTATATTACTTATACGTATACTTGCTCACGAGTAGTTTTTCTTTTTACAGTAAGTGGGTGGACCCAGTCACCATGTATTGTAATGTACATTTTACTGTACTACATCTCAGAGGTAATATATATTTCTGAGATGTAGTACAGTAAAAAGTACAATATATACCTCTGAGATGTAGTGTTCAGTGGTGGAGTAAACCACCTCTATAGCGCCACCTAGCGTCTGTGTCAGAGTGATATCTGGCCAATCTAAAGACGATGATTGTAATCAATTAAATATAGTGATACAATGGTGACTGGGTCCGCCTTCTTACTGTCTAAAAGAAAAACTGCTCGCGAAGCTTTTACCTGCTCACTCGCGAGTAGTTTTTCTTTGTGATAGAAGTCGCGCGCTAGGGAACGCCCCTTGCGCCCCTTGCTATTTGATTTGCACGCACGGGGCCTCTACACACGCGCTTGGATCTAATTTGTGCTCGCGGATTTTGACCTTGATTTGCCTTTATAGACATCACTAGCGTATCTCAGCTGGGCGTGGAGACTACGATTTATAAGCCTGTCTCAAACAGAAGATGCTGTAAATTTGCATTAGGGCAAGTGTAGGATCCAGAGTTTTTGGAGCTTGACCAGTGGGACCAGGAAATTGCTGCTTCAATTTTGACAATTCTATTTATCCTTCTCTTGTGAGTCCCCCTCAACGTTGTGGAAATACAACAGTAAATTGTGGCAGTGCCCCTACAACAAACAACCATCAATAACTATCACTACTTAAAAAAAAAGGTTTTATGATCCAATATCCAGCAAGATGGACATCATCAATGATATCTACATATTGTACATATCTGTATTTTGGATTATGATCTACTAGTCCAGTAAAGTCCAGCTGATCTCAGACAGTCAATAGGCAGATCAGAGTGAATGTGAGTCGTAGTGGAATGCCAGTTTACTAACGGTCAATGTTGGGAATGAGCCAAGAGTCAGTGAAACAGATGCTCTGTGGGCAGCGCTGACTGACCGCTAAACTGAAGCTATTGTCTCCCATTAATGACTCATATAGGAAGATAGAAAATCTGCACACAAATCTGCAGTTTATGAAAAACAAGCAGGTTGGAATACTTTAAACATACAGTGAACCTCTCCCCACATGATACTGAGATTTTTGACATAACAGTAAAAAGTGCAAGATCAGCGCGACAAGATCACTCAAATACAGGATTTTAATATATATATAACGTGTCTCAGAACTGCATGGCTGCCAGGGTTTAACCTAATCCACAACACAGATCATGAGCAGGGAATAAACATAAACTGTTTATGTTGTGGGGTCACACACAGAGAGGCTGATGATGTGCCCATCTGTCACCAGGAAAACACATGTTAATCTCTCTTTCACCCAAACAGTTGACCAGATTGGGGAGATTTGACGCCTTCAGACAGCCCTCCCCTCCAATGAAGCCACCCGAAAATGAGAGCGCTCCGGTAAGAGAACCGACTTCCTCCATCTGCCAGTGTGTCCATCTAGGAATGTTTACTCTAATGCCCTCCACACCATGTCTATTTACAGTGTGCTTTGTTTTCAAAGCTAAAGCAGGAGCAGGCAAGTGACCCAACCAAAGCGAGGCCGCAGAGGAGGGAGAGGGAGACCTCATCACACAGTGACAGGAAGCATGTGGAGGCCTCACCTGAGAAACCGCTGACAGCAATCACTGTACGTCACACACTCTGCACAGCTTTTAATAATGCGACCAGTTTTGGGTTTGTGGCACGCTGCGTTCGCCGTGGTTCGCACCGAATGAAACAACATCTGTTACCAAGCAGATAGCTGTCAGCCACACACCTGCTCTGCCACACGGAAAACTACCAATCAAACTACCATTTTTCCTTTTTTACATGTGGATGTTCAGCCGCCTTATCCAGTTGACCTGGTTAAAGAAAAAAGGACAAAAAGGGAAGCCTGAGGGACAGAGAGACACACTGGGACAACATCAGAGTATTTTTGATATCTACAAATGTCAGTAATAATTACAATGTGAACATTTGAGATATTTCCAAATGTCTTTTTTCTTCCTTTTGAGACGTAAAATATCATCCAAACCTTGACCAGACTCACACTACAGACATTTGCAATTGATGCATGACTAGTCCAATTATTAGTTACTGTTAGGAATAATAAGGTGTGAAAACACATGATCATAACTTCTAAGTCATGAGGATTTTATGAATAAATGTATTATTTATTTTAATATATTGTTTTACTGTAGTGTCCATACATGCGTGATATTCACTAACCTGCAATTTTTCTAATAAAGGAAAATGCCTGAACGCTCAAGAGAACTTACATTTTCTTTTTTTTAAGATTGCTTACATTTGTTGTACCCTTATGCTGAAAGCAGAGCAACTGAGGAAGACAGTAGCTGTGCAATGAGAAAATAAGATAATGGGAAAAATAATTAGAATACATGTAGTGTATTTATGAAAAATTATAAAATAGCTATAACTTTGTGATTCTGTCTAGGCCAGCAGAGAAGGCCTTGCTGGCCCTGACGGCCCACCACTGGTGTAATATAATATAATATGTCAGCTCACTGGCAGTGACTGCGCTCCATGTGATCAGTGTCTACATGTGGCCGGTTAAGTAGTCCTCCACAGCGTTGAGGCTAATTTTAGGCAGGTGATACGTATGCAGTTTAGTCAACTATTCCCAGTCCCTATTCGCTTTTGAAGATTCTGCTTGACAATTTCTGAACCCAATCAAATCAGATCATATATTTCATAAACTGTATGCCTGTGCACTTGAAGTGCAGCCCATCCACAATCCCCCACTTCCCCGCACATGGATGGTGATGCTGAGGCAAACATGGTCCGTGGTGTAAACGTCCCCGTACAGGACGAGGAAGTTAAAAGCTGAGTGCAGGTAGCTGGGGATTATTCCCGCCACACACTTCCTGTAGGTCTCAGCTATAAAAAGCCAGGCAACCCTTGCAGGATTAAGGGTTTTGCTTGCCAGAGGAGCTGCGTGTCCCAGCATAAACCGGGACATTGAGCCGCTCCGTCGCATGAGGAATCAAACACGGCAGCTTTGGGCCCTGACTCAGCTCTCTGGGTGGTTAGCTTTCTCTTTTGTTTGCCTGTAGTGGAAGATAACGGATGGCAGGGAACCCTAAAGCATATGAGGCAGGATGAAAAATGTGACTTGTCGTGTTTTATTACTGTGCAGACTGGAAACACACAGAAAGATGGAGCAGAGAAGAGGGGATCTGGTAGGCGACCATTTAGTAAAGGACACGGGCGGTCCAGTAACTCTCTGGAAAGCCTCTACAGCCTCAACAGTGGACAAAGCTCCTCAAGTAAGCTGTTCTCTTCACACCACGGCCTGATGAATTATGCAACCTTTGCTTGTTCACTCAGGTGTCCCGTTACTCCCATTTAGATGCACTAATTTGTAGAGCAACACCAACCTCTGACAAATCAAAAAACTAATCTTGCTGACGTGTGGATAGCTCAGTGTGAAAACTAGCTTGCCCTTTATTATTTGTCTGCTGTTCCCAGGTGGAGTCACCAGTGGGTCAGGCTGCTCCAGTAACAGAGACAGTCTGAGGCTGGAGGACGATCCATTGTACACAAGATCGCTCTGTGGCAGAGCAAAAGTCCATACAGACTTCGTGCCAAGTCCATATGACACGGAATCCCTCAAACTCGAAGTAAGCAAGTCTGGAAAGTAAATGGAAGTGAAATAAAGTAACTAAGTCCTACAGTTACAGGTTTTAGGATGACGATAAAGGCCAATATCTTTAGGATTAGCCATGGCACTGGTGGTCGGTCTGGTTGGTCCACCACTTTAGTCCGGACTTACATAAATAGACTTAACAGCATTAGATAGATTGATTAGACGATACATGCACGATATTGATTATGCACGATACGAGCACTATAGATTTTTGTCCCCCATCCCTTACAATGGAAGCATGTTATGAAGGAACACAACTACTTGGATGGCAAACGGTTAGAAAGAAAGATCACGGTTTGTGTTGAAATAATGACGTAAATTAAAAGCAAGGTAACAAGTTAGTGTAAATAATTAACAACCACCCTTAGTGGACCTTCTTATGATATGTTGCGTAACAAGAATAACAGTGTTACATAACAAGCGGAAAATCAATGTTTCCTTTGGTTTCTCAAAGGACACCAACATGTACTCCTCCCAACTCTACACATACTGATGCTTGGCGTCTCTTTCTATCCAACAAACGGTGTTTTTTCAGCCAGGAGGCCGCATGTGAAGTCAGTAATAATCCAAACAATAATCTAAACAGTAGTTTCCTGTGAAAATGAGTTTATTTTGAAAAGGCCGTATGCATGTGACGAGTGGAAATTGACACACGTTGCTGTCTTTTGAATTAAAACCCATGAAAAGAGATGAGTAACCGTTGCATGAGGATATGTTGCATTAAACACGTGGTTAACGTTGAGAATTCAAACCAAAACACTTGCTTAGGTTTAGGCTTAAAATAACAGTTAGGTTAAAGAAAAAAATCATTGTCGGGCTCAAAATAAGAACGTAAGCTAAGTAAAACGTAAATGTAACATAAGTACAGAAAACACGTCTTAAACATCACTAACCTAACTTCAAAATGAGTCAAAAACACTTATATATTACAGATAATCCACAGTGTTGATCACTGGTCTTCCGGTTGAAAGTCCTGTTTGTTAGACCCATCCACCTCTCTAACTACCAATTACTGGAGTTTCTCGTCTTTCTAATTATACTCGTTTATTATACCACTAAACTTTCATACCACATCATGCAATTGGTGTTCCATATACTTCTCTGTGCGTAGCTTATACTACAACACAGAATACCATCAATTAGTCTGAATAATAAATAGCCAGATTACCTCAACATATCAGTATCTTTCTCTATTTCTTCTTTGTGGCTGCTAACAGAAATATGAAAGCTATGAAGCATTTTGTGTTGATTGAATTTTGGCCTTGTATTCGTGTTACTTGTATTAGTAGTACAGTGTTTGTCTCAGTGAGGGCAGATGGAAAGTAGCTGTAGTTAATCTGGAACAAAGCATCTCTTCTCTGTGTGAGATTCATGTGTTTTTAACAAGCTCCCAGTCAAATAAATGCAATGACACTAAAACTAAACTTCCATTCAGGTGGGAGATGTGATCGACATAATTGCCAAGCCCTCCATAGGGATATGGACTGGCATGCTGAATGGCAGGACGGGAAACTTCAAGTTCATTTATGTGGATGTGCTAACAGAGAGTCCTCATACGCACATGGAAACACAAACCCGCAGAGTGAGACAGAAATCAACGGTCCAGGAAGTGTTGAAGCACCTCAGTATGGAGGTACTTTGACTTCAATACAGCAACAATCATCTTCCATACGAGATTGTGTTCCTTCAGCTTTTGAATGTCCCCTCCCCCACTTGCTTCCTCAGGAGCATTTCTCCTCTCTACAGCTGAATGGTTACCAAAGAGTGGACGACTTGATGAGGCTGAGGGAGCATCACCTGACGGAGCTGAATGCAACTGATCCAGAGCACAGGCTTCGTCTGCTTGCCGCTGTCCACTCCCTGCAGCAACTGCGCTGTGAGTAATGGCAAACGCAAGAAAAGGACAGTGTCATCACACACTTTTTGTGACATGATAAAACCGTAAAATGATTCACTGAGACGTTTAGATTCAGAAAGGGAAAGGGATACGTGACACTGTACCTCAAGCAGATAAGACTGGGAGGGTATCCGGGCCACAGCTAAAGAGGTTAAGGATAACAGGATAACCACAATGAGTGTTGCTGAGAATAGAGCGGGACACACGAGGATAGTAGCTGCCCACAGATAGGCCGCTGAGCCCTGATGCACAGGAATATTAGCTGAAAAGGATTAATTACTGCTCATCTATTCAACTCTGGGACCGAACATCCAACCAACCGTCTTCTCTGCTTCACAGCTGACAGTCAGTTGGAGAACGAGACCCCCGGCGAGAACGTGAAGGCGGATACGAACAACTGCCCAAGAGACTCCGGCTGCCACATGCCATCTGACAGCCCTGACAACAGCACAGAGGACACAGACCTGCACTTTATCTCTGAGTACCTGCTGCCAGCTGAGACAGCAGCTTCGTGAGAATAATCTGTTTTCTGTTTATTCCTTATGCTGGTTTTAAGACGACTTGTGAATAAAAACCTGTTTTTCTATGACTTGGAACAGCGTAATTTCTCATCCTTTACAATAAAACGGCCTTGCTGAGCCTTTAACACTGCTAATCCTCAACTCCACCACTGTACGCCTGTAAACATTTAATTGTTTCCTTAAAATAAAAGATTGAATTAATCTTTGTTCTTTTTAGTGTAATTATAATTTACTGCGGTTGACAGACTTCAGACAGAATCATGATGAAATGTATAAATGCTCTGTTTGTACTTAACATTACAGTTAAGGTGGTCGACTCCACGGACAGCAACAGACCATTCCGTAAAAAGTAGATTATTTTAAGTAGTACAGATTTCTAAGGCTGCAACTAAGAGCTATTTTGTTATTATAAATCAATATGCCAATTATTTTCTTGATTTCTTGATTAGTTGTTTGATGTATAGCATGTCAGAAAATAGTGGGGACAAAAAAATAAAGATTTTCAAGTGACTTCAGTTTTGGCATTTTTGCTTAAATGACTGAAACAATTAATGGATTATCAAAGTTGCTGCCAATGAATTATCTGTCGACCAATCGTTTCAGATCTACAGCTTTCATCATTTTGATACTACAGTGTTTTGATGTAATCTTTTATTGATCCTAATCATATAAACTGCTTTTACATTCATATGGTTTGAAGCATTTTATGCAATGTACAGTAGAAAGTGTTGAGTAAGACGCCATATTGAGCGAACATAGCTAATCATAGTAACAAAGTAGTGCATGCCAACTTCCTGTTGTAGCCAGCGCTATAGTGTTGTCATTGATAATTAACCACTTTACAGGAAGTAACAAAATATGACAAAAGTCAAATACAACTGAAGCAGCAGTTGTATTGTCTTAGTCAGACTAAGAGTCTACAGCCAACAGTGGTGCTTTGAGCTAAATGCTAATGTCATTATGCTAACATGCTCACAACGACAATACTGACCTGCTATTGTGTAGCAGGCATAACGTTTACCTTGTTCATCAACTTAGTGTCGCGTTAGCTCGTTAACAGTAGCTAGTCAGCACTGAACTCAGAGCTATAGCTGATGGGACTCATTAGCTTTGTAGGTATATGGTCCCAAACTAAAGTGATAACAAGCTGGTAGAAAGCATGGAAGAGTAAAGCAGCTCAGCTTTCTGACCTATTGTAGAAGAATCAAAGACTTTCACCCCAATTTTTTATTTCCATTTTGAAAATATACTTTGCGATTTATTTGTTACAAAAGACAAACCGCACATTTTTCAAAGAGAATAGATTTGAACTAGAATTGAACAGCTGACATGTCTGCGGCTGCAGAGGTGTTGCTGTAACTAGAAATGTGTACCCCTTTTTATTTAACTAAAAGACTACACTAAAAAACATAAGCTAAACTACAAGTCCATTAATTTAACAAAAAGGCAGTCATGTGAAAGACGTAATAGCTAATATGACTATACAGTAAGTCAATCATGGCATGACAAAGAACATTCATCCCCATATACTCACAATACCCCCCCATCCCATGAAACTGCAAGAAAATAAGTTTTTACATTGTCCCTATTGTCTTTTGCACATAAAAGAGGACATCAGTCCCAATGGTAATACATGACAACAGAAAATATACAATCCAAACCATTGAAAAACAGAATACAAACATCTCATATTTACATCAGTTTATAATACAGAACACTACACCTCTGTTATAAAACAGTGAAATACAACATTACAGCGCATTAGCGCATTAGCTCAAAGGTCACTCAAGCAAACAGATGGTGGTAGTCATGGTAGTCATATGGATTTTGTCCCAACCAACGCTCACATCACCAAATGTCTCTGGTAATAATGTTTTAAAATGATTTATTCATGATTGAGAATTGATTAAACAATTTTTTGAGAAACACAAATTCCACGTTTACCTGGTCATCGGATTTAATTCAGGAGGAAATAGCATGCGACTCATCATGAGACATTTGGTCAGCTGACATCTGAAGTGATGACGACATGGAAACCCACCAGCCATGTTGTCCCACTGAAGAATGTTGAACACATTTATAACACTGAAAACAAGAACAGGACTCTTTACAGCAATGTTAAAGGTAAGTGGTGAACTACTTTCAAAGAAAATGCTGGCAGTCTTAAGGAAAAAAATACATACAAAATGAAATTACACACATACATGCATTACTTAGAACTTGCACATGAACAAGTGAATAATGTGTAATTTTGAAAAACTGATGAATTATAGGCCAGATACTTCAGATACAATTTGGTATCCATGCCATCATAACTCCTGGTGTAAGTTGATTAATAGATCGGTTTCCCCATTTGTCCTCCTTCCTTTTGATGACAAAATAACATCCGGTCAGTAGAGCTCTGAAAGCAGACGTCCAGCTGTGTGTTTTGTTCAGTGACTGAGCTCTCCATGAGTGTATGTGGCATATCCGTTCTCAGGATACAGACACAGCTCCTCTGTACTGCTGAGCCCATTGTTTAGTTCTGAAAAAGATGACAGGGAGATGATTGATGATGCCATTGACGTCTCTTTAATGAGCACATTTAACACGTTGATATACTTGATTTAGCTGGGAATATTTAGTTGGATTGCATTAAAGGCTTAAACTGCTTATGAGAGTACTGTAAAAGCCTCCATGTGAAGAATTTTGAAAATTTCGGCACCCTTTACAAACCGGGGGGAGTTTTGATCGTGCGATTAATTTGCACATCAATATATTTTTTCTAACTGTTGTTTCTGTCATAAGCCCTATCACACGGAATGTAAATATTAAAACATCAAAGTCATCATGTTGTGCGGAACGGACATAATACAAAACACTACAGTGTACAACAACAGGGAAGCAACCTCCAGTTCAGGAAAGTGAAGCCAAAGCTGAAGTGCCTGAAAGCTGCATTCTCTCTAATGTCCATCAGGGGGCGACTCCTCTGGTTGTATAGAAGTGAGGAATGAGGAAATTACTTTACTTCTAAGTAAACATCGTGCGTCACAGTGACTACGTCCACTTTTTATAAATAGTCACACAGAGGCTCTATAGTCTGAACCAAGACAGCAAACGGTATTACACCTTTCCACCTTGACACAAGGCAGCACAGACCAGATCCACTCCTTCTGTTCTTACCTTTCACAATAAAAGCCCTAGATATACACACAGTTTAACTGTTTACCAGAGGGAACTCAATTTCACTCATATCATTTTGCAAAAAAGGGAACTTAATAAAATATCTAACATTAGCTTTAAGCTATACAACAGTTTACTTCAGATAGACCACCAGACATGTCATTAACTTCAACGCCTTAATTTCTTTGATTATCGTCACTTGTAAAACCAGCTTCTAGATGCATCGCAGTCAACAACTGGACTGGTGGATCCTGGTGAATTGCGGGATACACTTATGTTTTATAAGAATAGGTGTGGGTATGTGTGTCGTGTTAAACCCATAGACTGTATATAAGAAGTGGGCGTGGTCATCGTGACATCACCCATTGATTTCTGGACTGCCGTTATGAAGCCTCGAGGTCGACATTTTTGCCATCACCATCTTGGAACATGGCAGTCGCCATCTTGGCTTTTTTGCAACCAGTGAACGGAAGTTACCATATCTGGAATGCGGAGGGGTGACGTCGTATACGGCTCTGGTATCGGCAGCGACCTGTCAATCACAGTAAGCCCGCCCTAAAGCATATTCTCATAATTTACTAAATGAACATCATTAAAGAAGACTTGAAACTAGAGATTGAGACCATAAACTCATGTTTACTGAGGTAATACATCAAGAGAGAAGTAGAGTCATTTTCTCATAGACTTCTATACAACCAGAGGAGTCGCCCCCTGATGGTCAGTAGAGAGAATGCAGGTTTTAAGACACTTCCACATCGGCTTTACTCTGCAGAACGGTAGGTTGCTGCCTGGTTAAACCGTTAACGATAACCATTATATCAAAAACATTACTGATATAATGTTAATTATAAACATATGAGATCATATAAATGATCCAGCACCTCCTAAACAGGATTTTGTACAGTTACAGACTCTCTCTCCAACCGCCCTACACACACACTACACATGAATTTCTCTACAAATCTTCCATAGATATCATGATAATATTATCAGTCAGTTATCCTGACGAGTGAAAATCTGATATCGTGACATCCCAGACAAGTCTGAATGCCCACACAAATAGCTGAGGCTGCAAGTGTGGGTATTTGGACAGACCTCATCTTTGCACTGCTTAACAATGGCTATATTCAATAAAATATAATGTATGCATGTTAAGAACCTTAACGTCTCATGGCTGTATTTCAGACATGTTTTGTTTTGTCCAGTTTCAACCAGAGACATTTGTTTCCAGGTGTGAATGTAGTCAAAGCTGCACCTGAGAATATGAGCTTCTCCTTCATGATGTTGACCTCCCGACTGGACCGACGCGCCACAGCGCTCAGCATGATCTGCTCCGGGTTATAGTTCTGCATCCCTCTCATCCTCCACCTGTTACAGCACAACCAGATACAAACTTTCACAGGCATGGAGAGGCAACAAGTCCATTAAATCACACAATTCAATAATGATGGTGCCCAGACTGGGCCTTTAATATACAAATATACTGAATGGGATGCACATTGATAAACAAGAGGAAGGAAATTGGCCTTGGGGCGTCGGGCAGAAAATGCACAAGTAGGACAGACAAGGAGGCAGAAACAAAGGCCGAGGCAGTCGCAGCAGTTACCTGATCATATGATAGCTGACAGATGCCAGGGGGGCAGCAGAGGAGAGGTTGCATGCAGATCAGGCAGAGCACAGGATAAAGTACAAATGTCAAAGGAGAAAGAGAGGACAGAGAGGAAAAGGTCAGATTATAGCGTGGAGGAGAAACGTGGAGACAGTCGGAAGATGAAAGACAGTAGGAGAGAAAGAGCACCAATACTGTGTATAAAGAAAGATTAGAACGAACAGTCAGTGTAGATCACACTCAGAGGCTGGTGTTAACACTGTGCAGTCACAGAATCCCTCTCAACATGTTTCTGATGTGTGGTTGTATGAACTACTTCTCCATAGTCGGTGTAATACTACACTACATGGTGTTTGGAGACACAGACAGGAGCAAAGCATTGTACTGCTGTGGACGTATTTTAGACAGCTACAAAAATTATTGTTAGAAGTGTACACTATTTAAAATATTTCCACCACTTTATCTTGCCTTGTCCTTTTTGACAAGGATCTGAAGCCGTTTGATCTCTGCTCTCTTCAAATTCACAAGACTCCATTGGCAGAAACAATCAGTTTGTTTGTGTTATTGTGGGACTTTGGTAAATTCAAACTAAACCTTTAAAACAGCAAAGTAACACTTGAGTAGTGCGTTTCAAACTCGTATTGAGTATAGCACACATACTCTGCTTCCACACATACTACCCTGTCTGTTTCTCCAAACTCCATCTACTGCAGTAAAACGCTGACTATGGAGAAGTACCTCATAGAACCACACTTCCAAACATCAGAACTATCCCTTTAACACAACACTACAATCAGAGGTGTGCTGCTCCTGTAAACATTTAGATGATATGTGTTCAGAGAAATACTGAAGTTAAAATAGATAATGAGCTATCGTTTCCTAAAGTAGATCAAAATGTTAAATTATAGTAACAACAATACTCAGTCATGAAAAAAGATACTGTATGGTGAAAAAAACTAAAGGTTCAGTTCACCCAAAAATAATAACACTAAATGTTTGTCCAGGTTTGGATGTACCCAATACTTCAAACCTGCGGTTCTGTGAACAGGAGCTAGTTTCTAATTTCAAACAAACAGTTCAAATGAAAGCAGCTGACTGTGTTCAGTGAATGATTCAGAATAAAAGTGACTAGAAAGGCAAGTGGATGTTGAATGTAAAGTTTCAATAGTGTGTGCTCCACAAATGCAATTGCATACATTGTATTTGGTGAAATCTCAACAAATAAAAGCAAAACTATCTGCATGGGTGTGATACCACTGGAAACATGGTTTGGTTTTCTCTCTTCAATTTCAATTACGTACCATAAAGTAAATATCATGTTAGTGCTTTAAACTAAATGCAACGATGCGTGGAAATAAATATGATGAGTGTTCTATTTGACAGAGGGGTGTGTTCGGTAGTATGTCTGTGACCCTCAACACGATCGCTGCACTTACTTCTGAAAACTGAAAATCCCTACGACTACGGCGAAGGAGACCAGATCTGAAGTGATCCAGATGAAGTCGTAAGCCTTCCGACTCTGCAAGAGAAAGAAAAACAGAAGAGCAGGTTCCAGTCAACGCCACCGGAGGTCACCATTAACATGCATGTCATCTGAAGCTGCTAACACAAGGCCCTGAGTGCAGACAGCTGCATTACAGTTCAGATCTCTGTTCTTGTCTCAGACTCTTTTCCCAGGGTCCTGTTGTTCTCCAACGCCACGCTGAGCTCCCTCATATTTATCTGTGTCCTTGCCCTCGAGTCTTGCTGGGCCCTCGTCAGTCTCTGTCCTCTCTCCTGCTGTCCTCTCGCCTCTCTATGTATGTGTGTGTCAGATGAGCGACAGGGAGAGGAGAGCTGTTTACCATGAGCCAGATGGGGTAAGGCACCTTTCGGAGGACTTGGGGGGCATCAGAGGACACAGAAGGCACCCCGCTACACCACAGGATGGAGTAGAGCCAGCCCTCATTCACTGGGTAGACAGTCACACTCACATTATTGGCCAGATACTCCCTGGGGAAAGGAAAAAACACGTCAGCACTGAGAAGAAAAGGTCGTCTCCCTTTCAATCCTCTGCTCCTTTCACTGTGTTTTGTGTATCAGAAATTCATGCACTGTGAAACCTACAGTATTTCACCTAAAGATTTTATATACAGTATAGAGTCCCTGATGGCCCAGAAAACGTATTTGTACCAATCATCTTGTTACCAAAGCTCCATTAGCACCGATTGTCGAAGGCACGAATGTTACTCCGTTTTTCTGGGTCGCCGTTAAAAGGTTATGTAATCCAGCAGCAGAGATAGTAACAGAGACTGCTGGTGGTCTGTCGCTATGTGCCCCCTATCGAGATGTGCTACTTAGTGGTTCTGCACATAAAGCGCATTAATCACATTATTTGATGAGGGGTACTGGTCTGTCAAAATACACTACCTGAAACCTTCGGGTTAGGGTAAAGGGGCTGGGGCTATGGTAGCATATTTTTTCTACAAGGCAGCATAAATAGCCAAAACACCGGCATAGCCGGACGCTACCTTACCCGATGATGGCATGAGTATCTAAAATCATACACCGCAATTGTCTGGTTCAGTGTAAAAGAGCAAAACCAGCGTAATGGCGGATCTTCTTGACGGCAGTAGTGCAGGATCTCTGTGTAAAACAGGCTTATGAGTAATGGGGTTTAATTTTCTGCCAAAGTTAGAACAGTGTTGGTTCTTCTCACTATGTTTTCATCATGTGGGCGACTGTGGCTCAGTGTTAGGTCGTCCTTCAATCAGAGCATCGGCGGTTCAATCCCCGCCTCCACTAGTCCATCTCGATGTGTCCTTGAGCAAGACACTTAACCCCAAATTGCTCCCGTAGCTGTGCCTACAGTGTATAGGATGTTGTGTGCAGATGGCACCTTGCATGGTAGCCTGTCGTCAGTGTATGAATGGGTGTGAATGGGTGAATGATGACATGCAGTGTTAAAGAGCTTTGAGTGATCGGACTAGAAAAGAGAGACCATTTTCTCACTTGAGAAAAGGTGATGTTGAACATTTCAATTCACTAATCAGAGTCTAACAATATTTGAATCAAATTCCGGGGATACATTGTGGGGTCGGGTTTTTTCTTCTTCTATCTTTTTGACTGTTTTGTTGGATTCATGACGGAAAATTTAGAGAAAAAAAGAACAAGAGATATTGCCTTTTTGTTCCACTCATTCTTCTTCCAAACATTACCCACAATGCAACTTGATCTAATGTCACATCTCTTTTGCTTCGGAGATTTGACTTGAAATTCTTCCCATACCTTTTCTACATCCACTCAGCCAGCTGCAGCCCAAGTCAACGGGCCACAGCCACGAAAACACATCACTTGTAGAAGGAACAGGCCATTTGATATTAGTCCAGAAATATGACGGAGTTGCATCAGAGTTATTCTTCAATATTAACATTTTATCAACATTACATTTATGAGGAATAAGTCCAAAGGACAACAATATCCTGTCTTTCTCTTTTTTCAGCAACAAACAAAGCTCCCTCTTATCTCCATCATGGGTAATAAAGCTGATTCTGATTCTGATCCGAGCACTTCCCCCGTTGCCTAGCGGTACACGCTTGCTCTTACTGCAGGTCTTTGTGGCTGGCCTTGCTGTAGTGGAGGGTCAGGCTCGTTATTCCCCTCTGCCTCATCTCTTCCACTGACAGCTTCTCGTTTGCGGTCTGCAGAAGCCCTCGCACCCTCCCCCTGTCAGTGTCGGGGGTCCACGTCACCTGGCACAAACACATATGACATGGACAGACCCGGGTCAGACAGAATGCAGCGTGTGCCTCATATCCAGAGATGTTGCACTTTTATGGTATTAAAAAAAAGGTGCTACTTGTAGAATTTAAAATATCCAATATTAACATGGCGAATATTTCTGGTCCCGTTTGGCAGTCAAACTTCAGACTACATCTTATAACCCATTGCTAATCGGTGTCTTGGTTGAATAGAGGTTTTCTTTGGGCTTTCCATCCTTGAAACAGTTTGCAACCATTTTCAGCTGAAAGAACAGTGCCCTCTGTTTTGTGCCAATAAGCAATCCTGCAAATGTCCCACAGTAGTAACACACTAAGTATAAACCAGTATACTGTAGGACAATACCAGCTGCCAATCTCAGTGGCAGTCGTTTATGTGCTTAACTCTACAGTACTACAAGCAGCACCTTTAAGCAATCAAAGGATTTTTATGGAGTGACCTACAGTCCTCACCCTCTTCTGGGTAATGCCCGCTTTCTGCACAGCCCACAGTGTGTCCATGAACCAGCTCCGGTAGCGCGGGTGCTCCGGCGGGGGCCGGCGGACGTTAAGCAGTGCAGAGCCGTTGGCCCTGGCCACCAGACGCAGCATTTCCACCAGACTGCAGACCGTCTGGTTGCCTATTCTGCTGCGGTCCCTCGCTGTGAGGCTTCCTACTGTCCAGTAGGGGTCACTCTGGAAGCAGAGGAAAGCAAATGAGAGGCAGACACAGAGATGTAACATACTTTTCTGTATGGAATATGTTCTTCGGTATATAATTATATAAATTAAGCATGCAGATTAATTTTATATTTGTATATCTTTTTGAAAAAAAAAAAAAATCATCGGCACACTTCTCTCCAGTACAAACGTTCGGTCGTGTGTGTGTCTGTCCCCGGCTAGTCGGACACACTTCAGAACCAATCAGCTTAATATTTTTTGTGCTCATTTATGACTGTATACTCAGGGACCTACAGTGAAAAACTCTTATTTTATACTGTTGTTGACGGCTGACTCCTCCCTCCTCTGAACCGGCCAATAGGGGACACAAGTAATCAACAACTGCTTCAGTAGCATTTCCAGCAATCGGCTATGCTAACAACAAGCCTTCCCTATTCTGTTGCAGGCCACATTTTGGCCTTTGTCTGTAGCACAAAAACTGACAACCATAGAAAAGTTTGGTTTCATTTTGAACCGAAGCATTTGCAGACTGATTCCAAACCCCCTATGTTATGATCCACTAACGTGAGGCACAAAACCAGATGAATGAATCCTTGTCTTGTTATCTTGGGAAGGGAGAGGGAGAAACACCAGGAGGAGAGCTTAATAATTGTCTTAAGATTTACTGTCATCTTCAGAATCAGCAGAATCATTCCACTGCAAGTTTATACCATAATCTGAAAAGGTTTACAGGCATCACTATTGGAGAAGCTTAATCAGTTCTATTAACATCAGCACTTTTAACATCTTTTCATTTTAGAACTGTAGGTTTCATTACATTTTGTAGTCACAAAATTACTTTATGTTCTTGCATCATATCCTAAATGCAATTTCACCAAAATAGTCCTAAAGGACAATGTATTGAATATGGTGAATAATGTGGGCTCATCTAAGGGGAAAATGCATTTGATAGCTGTGATTGAGTCTGCATGAACAAATCAGTGTTAGCTGAACTGGATTCCAGTACCTCCAAAAACCACTGGCCTGCGTTCAGAGAGCGAATCTCAGTCCAGTTGAAGAAAGAGGCATCATCATACTGTCTGACTGGAAAGACCTTACGGACGTCTGTCGTTCGTTTCAATGTGCGGTCCCGCATAAGGAAGGGAACACCGTCCACACTGGAAGAGAGAAAATGGTCAGCAAATGTTGTACTATACAACTTCAGTTAAGACTTAGAATATAATTTGGTTAAAATAAATAGAATAATAACCTAACAGCAAAACAGCAGCTCAATAAAAAAAGATATGAAAAAGCAGAAGTGCAATGTGCTGATAACTACTTCACATGGCAATATTTATGTGCATCTCCCTTACTACATGTTAATGTTTCTACCAAACAACCTATATCACAGCTGTGGGAACTATATATGGAACTTCAGTTCATTAAAGATAAATAACCTGGGATTAAAAATGCTATGTGTGGTGAATAACCTGATAGTGATGTCTGCCTCCAGGGAGCTGCTTCCATACTGCAGGGCTCTGTTAAAGGACACCATGGTGTTTTCTGGGGCCAGCTAGAGCAGAGAGGGGAAGTCGGAGAAGGATAAAAGAACATTTAAAAAGGAGCAGTGTGCAGGGATTACTTTCCTCTAGTAGTGAGGGCGCAGATAGCAAACAACTGAATACCCCTCCGCTCAATCCTCCCCTTCCAAGCGTGTCAGCGTCTCAGAGAAATACAGTGGGCTTTAGGTAATAAAAGCTGACAGGCCCTCTTTAGAGCCCGTGTGGTTTGTCCATTTCAGGTTACTGTAGACACATGGTGGACTCCGTGACGAAGACTCCCACACATTAAGTATGAAATTGTGAATTACTTTATGATATTGACAGTAGAAACAGATCGATACCAGCAAAACAGTTTTCATACTGTGAAATGGGAACTGTAAAAAATCCAAAGTAGGTTCAGTGTCTTCAACAAACAAAAGAAATAACATGAAATATTTTTTAATTTTAGTTTTTTGTGATTTGTGTGTACATACTGTATGTGTGTGACAGCTCTGTACATTTGTTTACAGCTAGTCATGTCAAACAGTATTTGCTTGTCCAGCTGTGAAATGACAGTTCAGTGTGGGGTTGCCTCTCATGTGCTGTAGCTGGATACCACTCTGCTGTGTGAAATATTAGTGCAGAGACATGCACACGTTCAGTCTATATACTAATGAAGATAAAAACAATATCCAGTGATCCATGAGTATCTATTAAAAAGGCGATACCTGACAGGCGTCTGCAGTGACATGTTCTCTCACAGAACAATTAACTGGATCAGACGGTGAGGTCTGGCAGAGCACAGACTCACCATCGGAGCTCCCCTTCGACCAATGATCTCTGGTCGCGGTCTGAGGCTGTGCCGGTCCATGATGCAGGGGCAGGTGAATGTGAGCGGAGCCAAATACACAGCCAGGAGGATGACCATGTAGATCAGCAACATCATCACCTGGAAATCTAAGAGGGAGGAGTGAGGGGGTTTGAAACGTCGTTCTAGAAAGGGTGAAGGCCTTCCTCAAAAATATTAAATCGTGTAAAAAAAGATCTTCACCAGTGCTCGTAACCTGCATCAGTGTTGTAGTAAAGACCATCTAAACGGAGACCAAGTCATGACCAAGACCAGAGTGTATCAAAACCGAGACGAGTGAAGACCAAGACCCGACCAGTGTGAGTCATTACATGACATTATAACCATTATTCAGATCAAATGTAGAAAATGCAAACCATATAGGCACTCCTTGTACTTATGTGAAAGATTCACATTACCATAAAAACAGTCAGAAAAAAGATGATTATTTTTCTTTCACCGCCATTTTTACAGTATAAACATAGCACAAAAAGTAAGGAAATTTGTTTGGTAGATTATTTCTTTATTGTAACAATACTTCTTGGCAATAAATCTTATACCGTTGGAAAGCCTGTTTATGTCCCTTTTAAACGGTGCCACATTTGTAAGGAACATGCATTTGTGGGATGAGCAGCAGAGCTGAGTATGTGGGTTGCTCCCATGAAACATTTGCCAAATCTTCTCTGCCAATGCCAAGAGAGCGGTTTATCAGAGACTACCTCCAGAATTTGGGAGTAGAGGATGGAATGGCCTGCCAGCAGTCCTGACCTCAACCCCATTGAACACTTGTGGGATCAGCTTGGCGTGCTGTTCGTGCCAGAGTGACCAACACAGCCACGTTGGCTGACTTGCGACAAATGCTTTTTGAAGAATGGGATGCCATCCCACAGCAGTGTGTGATCAGGCTGGTTACCAGCATGAGGAGGAGGAGCCAGGCTGTTGTGGCTGTGTACGGTTCTTCCACACGCTACTGAGGCTCCTGTTTGTTAAATGAATAAATTGTTAAATTGCTAATATGTCTTGTTTCTTCAGACTTCAATCATCCAATCCACCAAACAACACCAAACAAGAGTCAATGGCAGAATAAGCTGTTTGGCATTGGCAGAGAAGATTTGGCAATTTTTTCATTTAAAAGGGAAATAAACAGGCTTTCTAACGGTATAAGATTTATTGCACAAGAATATATATAATATATATATATAACAAAGAAATAATCTACCAAACACAACTTTCCTTACTTTTTGTGCTATGTTTATATGTGTGTATGTATACATGTAGCATGAGAAATGTCTTGATAAAATGATCAAAAGGCACTGCAGAGGTGGATGTGTGGGGATTGTCTTTTGTTTTCTATAAGCAATCACAGTATTGATGGTAACAAATGAATCAAGCAATGTAGTTGTAATGCAGTTTGGTGATATGCCAGTTGTGTTCTTGACCCATCTTGAAAAAAAATACAGAATCCTCTTTGTCCAAGACCAAGACGAGACCGAGTAAAAATACGGTCCATTCAAGAAAAGACCGAGACGAGACCTTCGAGTACTACAACACTGCCCTCTATAAGCCAAAGAAATCAAAAGCCGGAGTCTGCCCGGCTGATGACATGGACCTTTACTTGAAATACAAGTCAACACTTACTGGATCTCTCTCTGCGGACCACATATCCAGCTACCAACCAGCTGATAGCTGTGACTGTCACCAGGGCTCCAATGTGCAGGAAAGGTGCTGTGGACTGGTATCAAAACACAAATAGAGAACACTGCTGTTAATTGGTGGTCACATAGTAGCGAGAGTACAGCAGAGTACAACTTTGAGGACATGTAGATAATAAACACATATGTCAGAAATAGCTTCTAGAGCAATGATCAGAGCTCTTTCTTTGTTGTGTTTTGATCATGTATGTTGTTGGTGAGGTTAATTCACTTCCGGTGATTAAATAGCAATTTTCAGGCTGGAAACATCATCACAGCAAATACACCACGCAGTAGTCTTTCAGTATTCAAGAGCCGAAGTTTAGTTTCTGCAAGACGTCCGTTTGGACAGAGAGATTTTGGTAACGTAACAAACTGATCATACATCTGTCTGTTAAATAAACTACATCCAGCAGCTGGTTACCTTGGCTTAGCATTTTAAAAAAAAAAGCAGGGGGTAAACAGCTAGCCTGGTTCTGAATGAAGAAACAGAGAAAAGTCTGCCAACCAACCCCAGAAAAGCTCACTACGCTGTGCTTTTACAAGGTGCCATGCGCCAGCACTACTTCTTGGCGGAGAGCAGTGACTTCACTTCTCTATGCTAAGCTAAGCCAACTGGTTTATTCGGTCGGTTTATTATTAATGGACAGACATGAGAGTGGTATCAAAATTCTCATCCAACTTCTGGCAACAACACAAAAAAGTGTGTTTTCCCAAAAGTATTCCTTTAAGTTTGTGAGAAAAAAAACAGACAAGTTTGCATGGTAGGTAACAATGATGAGTAAAACTGACGAATGAAACAAAACCTAATATCATCCAAATAATTACAAGTGCTGACATTTTGACTCTTTTTTTGGTACTATTTTGGAACAAAAATTCCCCACTGTCCCGCTTTAAATCCTTCAAAGGATTCATTGATGTTGCTTTATGGAAACTGCGGTCATGTTTATTACACCTCCCTTTAACTCTCACTATTACACTGTTTATATTGTATGTCATTTTAGCGAAAAAGTGGAGAAGTTAACAGGTAAAAGACAACAACAAAAACAAAACAGTTATTGCACAGTCATGTCCTGATTGTGGACCAACCTGCAGTGAAAGCAGCAGGATGTCCCACTCATCTCCCCAAATGTCATCGACGGAGATGACGCCAGAGATAGTGGTGAGCAACGTAGCCAACACTCCAATCTGTGGAGACGATGATGGGGTCAGATTTTGTTTTATTTCAGAAGACGGTGTGGAGCAAATACATGAAGAAATGTGAGGTGTAAACCACAGCACCTTGTGAACCCAGTAGAGGTTCAGCTGCTGGCCCAAGGATATATGGAAAAGTGCTAAAATCTGAAAGAGAAGCCGCATTCAGTCAGTTTTATCATAACTGAGCAATAAGCAAGTTTGCTAACATCTAGGGGTGTAACACTACCAATAAGAATGTGATGTAGCTGAATCCCACGGTGGTGGATGCGAGGATGGGGATCGTCTCGTCCCTCCATTCTCCAGAGCGGTTGTATACCAACCTGTAGTGAACAGGTGAGGTTTGACTGATCAGTGCAGATTGTAAAAAGGAATTATTGTCAAAAAGGAGAACTTTGCAGCCTGGAACCCAGTAAACAATGGTATTAGTTCTCCTTACAGTTTGCCCTGCTGCCATAAGGTCAGCCCCCTGCTGTCCACAACATCATCTGAACTAGTTTCATCCTCATCAAATACGCTGAGCACAAACAGCTTATAGCCACATAGCGGGATAACTGACTCACCAGTTGAACTCATTGAAATCATTTTGAGCCACCAACCAGAAGTAGGCCCAAAAGAGAAGCAGGAGGAAAGAACTGCACAAGATGACGAACCATGTACACTCCCACTGTGAAGAAAAGCACAAGCTACAGTTATCTCATACATAGACTACGCACCACGCACTCAGCAACAAACAGCCAGCACACTAACAACAGTTAACATTCAACACGCCTGCCTTCATGGTCGGAGCTCGAGGCTCACCCTACGGCGCCAAGTGAGAGTATAAACTAAGCTTTATTCTCTGAGGGATTGGTCACTACAACGACCTCAAATGAAACGGTCAAGTGATCAAGTGTTAATACATAAATATAGCTTGAGGCAGCTTAAACTGTCATGAAGTAGAAGCAGAGGTTCAGAGTACTGATGATGTCTAAGAGAACCAAAAGAAGTCCCCACTAATAAAGGACTGTCCTGAATGACTAAATCAGCCACACATCACTGTGTTGCTGTGTAAACAGACAGCATTTCAGTGCATGAATGCTAACCTCTCTGCTTCAGTGCTAGCACTGTGTGTGTGCGACTACATGAATCTCTGTAAATGGAGACAGACGGGAAAGGGGCAGCTGTGCGCTTGTATTTTTTGCTTTTGGTCAGCACAGTCAGTAAATGGACTAATTTACAGCAGAGCCACTGGCTCTTTGTGATAAAGACGACATCCAGCAGCTGCCCAGTGGGTGTCCTACACAGCTGGGTGTCTGGCTCTGCTTCTCTCTCACACACACACACACACACACACACACACACACACACACACACACACACACACACACACACACACACACACCACTGTTTCTCATACTTGCTTCATTGTTAGGTTTGTTTTCCTCAGTTACTAGGGCCTGGTCTAGAAGTCACTTAGGAATTCAGTAAAAAAAAAAATTATATATAGATATATATCTATATATATAGATATATATAGATATAGATATATAGGGATGACATCAACTTCCAATGGATTAGTCTTGGAAACAACCTTTCATCTCGTGTTATCATTTCTAAAATATCTAACGAATCGCTAAAGTGAAGCTCAAATAAAAGAAGCTACGAATGCATTAGATACTTTACAAATATAAAAGAAAGTTATTTTGACAAATATAACAATGAGTTTTGACTGTTTAACATTGCCCTACATCTTGTTATGATCAACACATTTCTAAATCGACAGGCTTTTATTACTTTTAAGGGTACAAAAGGAGCCCCTCATGCCATAATCAAAATGACTGAATCCATGTTGCACGTTGGGTCACTGTTTAGTGTTGCCTTTCACAAAGCCCGACTTATTTTCCGGCCTTCAAAACCACAAAATGGAAAACAACTCATTTATTCCTGAGGTGCGATCAGGTTTCAGCGCAGTGTCAGCAAGATTGTGTGCATTATCTTACTGTACATTATGTACAGTAAGATAATGGCTACACTCAATCTTTCCTTACATAAATCTACAAGATCCCTGCATATGTGTAGCATAGGTGGAAATAGAGATAAGAATCTGTTTTGACGTAAAGGTATCATAGATGTATACACAATCTTTGTTACCATATTTGACCATGTTTCTTGATCTTATTACAACCTAGAGGACTGCAACTTACATTTCCTTCCTGAAGCGGTACACATTTCTGTTTCAACTCTCCAGAGGTGTGGTGACTGAGTTGTCAGCCCGGTTACAACAAAAACAGCACTAGCATTTAGCAGATGCACTGTAAACACTGTGGCTAAAGCACCTATGGTCATCTTAATAACCACACTTCCATGCCTATAACAGCCCAAGTGTAATAAGCAGTTGAGGGATGACACTGTTTCTTTGTCTAGTTTCTGTGTAAAGTCTGAATCACTTTAGGAGTAATCTCTATACACAGATATCTGCATATGAATGCAGAATCTGGAGTCAACGTGTCAAGATCTTGGTATCAGAAGCGTTCCATGGTTTCCGTTTGTAGTCCAAGTGGTATCGACCAACCACGCTGAAGCAAGATTTGGTGGCATACAGATAAATAGTCCGCGTGGAGAGCCAAAGAGGCGTAAAGCATTGGCCCAAATGCAATCCGGGAACCCATTGGTTATTAGCTTGGTTAATTGGCTACACAAAATACAGTCATGGACATTGTGTCTCAACTCCAACTCCATTCACGTGTCTCCATTTGCAGATAGGACTGGAATGAGTCTTGGCTCTGGCTACACTGAAACACCCAAAATATTGGCCATTGCCACCAGAGGCTAAATCAATGGGAGCCCAATAGCTGATGGGTTCTGAGTTAAGGCTCAGAATGATCGGGGGCGTGCAATGTGTAACATTTAAGACCTTTGGCTTCTTTTGGTCAATGGAATGGGTTTAGTAGAAAAACACGTTGACCATTCTCAAAGTAAGGTATCGAAATAAGTATTGTATTGGTACTAAAGTAGCCTACCCTAACAGTAACCAGCTTTAATCAAAGATCCATCAGCAGTACTATATCTACAGTGATACAGAAAGGTTGTGACAGTAAAAGAAAGAACCGTATTAGTATACCAAGCAAATCATATTTGAACCTTTATATATCATCATGATATCCATACGTAATGATCACGTCTTACCCTAGAGCTGTCGTCTTGGGAGCGCTGGTAGCGTTTCCAGCGGCAACCATAGATCCCAGTGACAAAGGACACAAAGACCTGTTTCTCATAGACCTGCAATGGTTGGTGTTTCACCATGCTCCTTCAGCCTCAACGCACCACCAGTCCGTTAACATCCCACACAGGACCGGGAACCCTGGAGAAGATCAGAGGGTTACTAAACAGAACACGCTTTCAAATCATTAGCTCAGTCTTTGTGTGTACAATGACATCTTCCATCAACAGGCCATGTCACGTCATGTTGCTGTGGCCTATTTTCACAAAACACTGTGAACATGTTGACGGTCCTGGATCTTGTTGGGAGTAACAACACCTGCTGGAGAAAGTCAACACACTTTTCAGTAGCGAGTCATGTCTGGGACTGACATAATAATATGGTATATGGTTTACAGTCACTGAGTCAACCTTTAACATCGTATTTATGACTGGAAATGTGGAAATAGGCATCGGTAGGTAGGCAGCACCTATCTATGGGTATGACTTAATCCTTTCACAAGAAGAGCATCAGTAAAAGGGAAAGAGTAAGATGGAGTCATCGTGTTGCCCTCAAACTCAATTCTGCCTCAGAGAGAAGCTTGTTGCCTTGGTGGCATGTAAAAATGTCTTGGCACAGGTCTTGTTGTTTTCATGGCTCTCTGGAAGACACGGTGCTGTGCCGTGTCTTCTTTTTTCCCCGGGAGCCTTATTAGTCTTTTTTTACTTTTCTTTTTTAAGATCATTTCAGAAGCTTATGGAATTGCATAAAATTAGATCATGTAACCTACAGTATGGGTTATTTGTATCAAGTCTAAAAATAAAGCTGGACACTGGGAACAAGCTGCCAGTCTGAGCAAGCATGTGTGCAATCAGGGCCTTTCTGTTTATAAAGCCTCAGTGACCTGGGTGAGTGACAGTTTCTGAGAAAATGTTGACTTTCAAAGTATCACTGTTTTTCTTGTTTGTTAGATTTTTTTGCAGCATTTTAAACCCTTCTGACTTTTCCTCTATAGTGCCTACATGACATTGACACATTTGGTTCTAATTTCAATACAGTATCTTGACAACTATTGGATGGAATGCCATGCAATTTCCTACACATAATGGTACACATTAGTACCAGCTTCAAGCTAACATTTCAATCTGTCCAATACTTAGGAAATACTGTAAAGGGAAATTATGTTATAGTATAGATTGTAATACAGATATCTTGACCACATATATAAGTTAGGTTATGTTATAGTATTATGTGTAATGTTTAAAGACTACTCGATGTGAGGAAGTCAGGAGATGATTTTAATTAGTTTAGCATCCAGGTGTCTTGTTATCTGTTATCTTGTACACTGTTTCTTTGTTGGTAAGACGGAGACACAGAGAGACCTTGAGTAACAGACATCCTTTGTCTGAAATACTTTTACTCCCCTTATGACGCATTATCTGAAGTTGTAAAGGTGTGAACTTTTGTATGCATAAATGATGTTGAATATTGCACTTCGAGGAAGGTTTCACGTAGTCTACTGAATACGTGGTTGCTGTGCTTTCTTCCCTCTTGCGCAAGAGAATAAACGGAAAAAGACAACTTTGAATCTTCTGATGACTTCATTATTGATTTGAGAACAAACTCTCTCCTCCCGATTAACCTAGAAATTTTCCACCACAATACCCATCAATGTTTTGTAAATGCTAGCATGCTAACAAGCTTCAGGAGCTTGTTAGCATGACTAAGACCTCCAGTCACCAGTCCGTCAAGCTCCTGAAGTTTGCGGATGACACCACCCTCATTGGACTCATCTCTGGTGGGGATGAGTCCGCCTACAGGTGGGAGACCTGGTGCGGTCTGAACAACCTAGAGCTCAACGCTCTAAAGACAGTGAAGATGGTTGTGGATTTCCGGAAGAACGCAGCCATACCTGCCCCCATCACCCTGTGTGACTCCCCCGTCAACGCTGTGGAGTCCTTCCGCTTCCTAGGCTCCATTATAACCCAGGACCTCAAGTGGGAGCTTAACATCAGCTCCATCACCAAGAAGTCTCAGCAGAGGATGTACTTCCTGAGGCAGCTGAAGAAATTCAACCTGCCAAAGACAATGATGGTGCACTTCAACAGTGCCCTCATTGAGTCCATCCTCTGCTCCTCCATCACCGTCTGGTACGCTGCAGCCACTGCCAAGGACAAGGGCAGGCTGCAGCGCATCATTCACTCTGCCGAGAGGGTGATTGGGTGCAATCTGCCGTCCCTCCAAGACTTGTTCACTTCAAGGACCCTGAAGTGAGCAAGAAAGATTGTAGCCGACCCCTCTCACCCTGGAAATAAACTGTTCGAGCCCCTTCCATCTGGCAGGAGGCTGCGGTCCATCAGGACCAAGACCTCACGCCACATGAACAGTTTCTTCCCATCCGCAGTCGGGCTCATTAACAGAGCCCGGGTCCCCCACTGACTCTGTCACCCCCAGATTTCCTACCGGTCACTCCCCTGCACATCCCTTCTAGGTTTCTTATTTAAATACACTCAACACTTTTACATTACTCTTACCTCTCACTTGTTTATAGTCCTGTTATCTGTTCGTTTGTGCACTTTATTTCATATTTTACTTTATTTTATATTTTACTGTAAATTTTAATGTGTTTCTACTGTTGATTATTTAATGGTATGCACCACCCGTCATGTTAAATTCCTTGTATGTGCAACATACCTTGGCAATAAACGGTTCTGATTCTGAGCTCAATTAAGTTAGTTAACCTGGAAAATATATCCTAGATATCAGTGTGTAAGCATTGCCACAACAAGCATGTTAGCATGCTGTTAGTAGTTGCTATGCCCAAGTGGTGCCATGCCATTGTTCCGAAGGCCCATTATACCAAAATCCCAATAGTCCAAAAAAAGGTCCCATTGGACTGAAAGTCCACAAACAGTAGCACATGGATATGCACCTGCAATATTTTGTTCCTACCATTGCAATGACACGACCCACCCTACTCTGTCTCTGAGTGGTCTTACCGTAAACCTGACTAATGTCACGTCTCATGCCTAAACCTAACCAACCAAACAAATATAGGCAACAAGTAGGAAAATGCAGAGTGGCGAGTCATGCCTTCACCAGTAGGACAAAAAAAACGGTAAGGTCCGATGATGTCATTCTGCATAATAATTAGCCATGTGCTTCTGTTTGAGATTGTTATTTCTGCAATGGGCCTTTGGCACAATGGGCGTTTTTGGATAACGGGCTATAGTTTGGTACAGTTTTGAAACATTGAATACATAAAATGACCAAATGACAATATAAATTGAGGCCAACACAAGGGATTAAATTCCTGACAAATCAAGCTACTTCCTTAAATGAATACAAAAATCCTGTAAATCCCATATTGCCACAACAATGCCCACAACCATATACATAAAGTTGATGAATAATTATCCATGAGCTTCTCTTGTTGCATTTTCAGAGCAATGGGCCTTTGGAAAAATGGGCGCTTGTTTTGGGGATAACGGGTTGTTGAACAATGGGACATTTTTAGAACTATTGGGGTATCGGAACGGCCGTCGGAACAATGGGTCTTCCTTTCCCAAGTGCAGCCTCACAGAGCTGCTGGCATGGCTGTAGACTTTTAGTCTTGTTAAGTCTTAATTTATTGAATTATATTTATTGTTGGGTTACATGGCTGACTGACAATACTGCAGAGGAGGCTAAGCAAAGATACTTGATGGTCGTTAAGCCAAATTGCCACCACACCGTGCACATCAGAAAGCCTGCCTAGCCTCGTTACCGAGCGGTGCCATGACCGTCAGCGCCTGGACTGAGTCTGGACACTTTCCAAGCCCTCCTCATTCGTTTCAATGAGATCGCTGCTTGATATAGCACAGGTGACTGCAGAGGGCCCAGTGGGGAAATTGATCATCACACTACTTATGAAAACAGAGCCATTTGGTGCCGAGGGTCCCAATGCATGTCACACCATGAGCATGGATAACACGAGGACAAGGTTTTCTTGACAGAAAACAAATTTGAGGTGAAGACTCAATGTCTAACATTTTATTGTGTATCGTTTTTGATAAAAGGCGGCAATGACCAGCAATGTCCCAGTCAGATAGAGGCAGATAAGGGCACGTTTCCTGGTCAACAGTCCTGAACAAAACAAACTGCTCCTTTGTCCTTATCGCTGAGCACAGAAATCACTACATGACAGGGGGACCAGGCTGAATCTGGGTCTGGCTGTGTACAGCTAACACTCTGTTGTCACTTTCCATTTTCAGAGATTCAAAAAGGCAAATAGTGAAACAAACCTGATGCACAAGCAGATTTTTCAGAAAATAATTTCATTCGTAAATTGAAGATGTAGAAGTGCATGAAATATTAGATACAGGTTCCAATTGGCAAGCTGGGCTTTGTCCTTCATACAGTGCATTCTATTAACATTCTCAAATGAAATATTTAGTAGCGTTACTGTTAGTATTAATGGATTGTTTAAGAACTGAAAATGACTATTCTGACCAATATTTGACCATTATTCTCTCTCCTGTTGGTCGGTGTTGAGGCTTGAGGGCTAGAGTTGGACATTGTGCCAGCAAATCTTACAGAAAAACATCCAATCGTCTTTAGAGAAAATACAATGTCTTTTTAGAATGGTGTACTTGTACTACTCTCTAAACTGCCTCTTTTTACTGTCGGACAGAAACTGCTAAAATACAAATAGTGCTTTAAAACATTTCAAAGAATAAGATCTATTCCACCTGGCTCAGTACCTATGCACTCCATTAAAAATACAGTACAATTTGGTATTGTGTGTCTCATGCAGTATAGTATTTGAGCTGTAGTTCTTTTTCAGGTGTTCTCAGAGGATAAGTGTGACCTTTTATGTAGGATTCAGTGCCAACCTTCATCTATGCAACAATCTTCAAGGAGGGGGAAACTGTCATCCTTCACTGTTGACTGGTTATTATATGAGAGCTCACGGCCTGAGGGAGCCTTCTCCCAGATTCAGAGGAGTTGGCAGATTCCCAGCATTCACTTCCTGACCCCATCCTCAAAACAAGGGCTAACTGGAGCTGAAATCACTGGGGCCGTATTCCAGCCAGGTTGGCCTATTGTGTCATTGTGTCTTTTTTAGCATGGTGCTATCGTGATCATGAGGTAAACTAGGCCCAGTCGGGGTTGAGACACTTCCCTCCTCTATTGCTGGGTGATTTCAAGCTTCTGTACAGAGATAGATAGCTGAACATAACTCCACATAAATGATGTCTGGTACAGGATGCAATTATGAAAAGCTTGGCTTCCCATATTCACCTCTCTTTCCCAGTGGGTAAAAACTGGACTAACGGGAATAAAGCTGATTTGGTCCCTAATGTGGATTACAGGGAAAGGAAGTACAGCTTGCTGTCTGGCATCAGGGTTAATGCCATGATAGGTTGATGGTTTTGATTAGGGCAGGGGAGTATATTGATATTGTGATATGAAACAGCACCAATGGTAAACCCTACAATGTCGTCACAGGTATTTGGTCAAAAATATTGTGATATCTTATTCTCTCCATATAGCCCCCTTCCTGGTTTCGATGGAGTGAAGCTGTGCAAAGAACAAAGGCAAAGCTCACTGCAGCGCAAAATATCATAAAGAGATCCAGGACTTCCATGAACACTTGAAAGATGTGTGTGCAGCATGAACTAGCTTGCCTTTGAAGGGATGTCTTCCAACACAAGTTCTACTTACAGTGTAAAGAGATATTCATTTTTACTTGTGTTTTCTGTTGTTTCTTTGAGCCTATATTCTGTGTACAGTATGGCTCTCATTCAGCTGGCTCCAGACCAGTTCCCTCTCATGAACCTGCCTGAGAGGACTTTAGTACTCTCCTCACCTCCCTGTCAAGTGACCTGGTTACTGTCAGCACGCCTCCAAGGCCCCTCGCTGCGTCAAAGTTGTTGGTGGCAGTTCGATTCATGTGCTCATTGAATGATAATGCAATATAATCCGCTAAGTCTCAGCCGACCAATTGCCGCAGAGCCTCTGCCATATGCGTCTATTATTAACCTTTTTATCTCGGTCACTGTCGCCTCATCCCAGGCTTCCATCGTTCACTCACTTCATGAATTGTATATATGCATGCATTAATAGTATCCTTAATATTTCAGTGGATTTTGCCAAAAATAGACTTTCCATTAGTGCCACACGTTCATTACTCGGGGGGGGGGGGCAAGGCTGCTGTTGAGTGTATACCAGTACATGCTGGTGAACCTGCATGAATCAAGTCATCAGACGACACGGGCCTCAGCTTGTTAAAGCTTGGTTCGTCGGCCGGACAACACCTGAAGTTCTGAAGCGACCTGATTTATCGAAGGTGATATCGGTCTGACACATGCAGCGAGTGGCGCCGCAGGAAGGCCGGGGGACAGATAGGGAGGGGAATTCAGATACGTCTTCTCCTAATCAGATTCAGGGAGGACAAAAAGGACAGACCAATGGGATTAAAGCTTGATTCATTTGCTTTGCGAAAGATGCTGACATCACCATTTGGTTGTCGATGACTTTAAGAAACCCACGACAGGTCGATAACTTAACATAAACACTCAGTCAACTACCTATATGTAGACAATGGATGAGTTTCAGTAAAGCACCTCTATCTACCTCATTAGTCCAGTGTTTACCATGCCAGAAAAATTATTCTCATGATCCAAAAGTTGTATGCATGATGGGGAATGGATGAAGATCAAAATAATCCAGTTCAGTATGTGTTCATGTAACCATTTCTTGTTACAAGGCAAGACAGTAACGCCATGTCATCCTGAAGACACCTTTAGTGACAGGAGGTTTGCAAGCTGTCTGTCTGTCTGTGGACAGTTTTTGACACCAAGACAGCGTCACAACCGTTTAAGATGTCCCAAAACTTTACAGGTGTGTAGTTGAGATCAAAATGAAGGCAGAGTGTGGATGGGTGTGGTCCGAGCAACAACGCCGGACACACACACACACTTTAGCCCCTGGCCCAGGTTGGAGTCTGGCCTGGTCTCTAGTTTACTGTGTGCTTCCAAACATTGACTTTGCTCGTGTGTCTACCAAACGCTCAGCTCTGCAGCAGGTGTCACCAAAGCTGCTCAGCAACCAGCAACAGCTTCACAACTATGGACCAACCATTAACACATCTTTCATATCCAACGCACTCACGTGCCATGTCATAAAAAAATAGAAATAACGTATGAATGCATTCAGTCACGTATGTATTTGAGGACAGATCCCTCAGCTGATCACTACACACACGACAGAGACAAGTGGCAGTAACTCAGATCATAGAAGGAGAAAGTGCACAAACACCAACCTTACCTTTCTATCCCGGACAGTGTCGGACACGTGACAAGCGCTTGGTTAATCGGTTATCTCCGGGGACGTTGACATAATGTCCTCTCTTCACAGTTTACGGATTCACAGAAGTCTGTGGAGTGACTTTGAGCGGCGGCACTCATCAGCCTCCGGTCCAGCCCGACAGAGAACGGTGGCTTTAACGGGTTAACTAGTTAATGTTTAAATGACTCATAGAAGATAGTTTCTTCTGGAGTTAAGATATACCTTCGGTGGTCACAGAGGACTTCAGATGGCTGTAATCCCGGCAGACACGATGTGGGTGGAGCTGTGGCGCACACTATAAAAAATACTTCAGCCAAGCAAGTTTATCGAGCGGCCACGGGACCACATCCTGGCTTCTACCGGGGACTTCTTACAGCGTGCAGGACGACTCTGTCGCAGGTAAAAGGCCCGTGGCAGCTAATGACAGTCCCATTATATATATAAACACGTTTCAGTCTGTATTTTCTAATAATTAACAAAAGTAAAATTAATAAAAGTTGTAACTAATAGCTCATTATTTTTATTAGATGCATCGGTGAAAACTAAAAGCCTGCGTGTGTGGTTTGCTAAACACTACCTCACTCAATTATATGTGACTTTTACCCAGAATGCACGGTGTCAATATTATTTCTTTTATATTTAATAATTGTTATTTTATTGTTCATATATGTTTTTTTTCTCTCTCTATTGTTTTTTGCTATTCTTCTGTTCTTAATCTTTATTGAAACTCTGGCACAATAATTTCCTTCGGGATTAATAAAGTTCTATCTTATGTTATCTTTACAGTTTGATAGTTGAGAAGAATACAGTATGTTTATGATTAACACTGTTTATTTGGTGGTTGTGTGTGACGTTGTGTGGGGAAATTAGCATTAGTAGAAGAGTTGATATAGTTTTGAATAAAGTGTTTGCTTTTGCAAGAGATTTGATCTGTTTTTGTGTGTAGAGTTTCAACAAAGGGGCCCTATAGTTTCAGAAACTGTGCTTCAGCAGTTGCTAAAAAAACCAGAAAGGACAGACACCAACCACGTTTTCACAATCAACCCAAACTTTATTTATTCCTCTTGGTGATTTATAAAGTATTATTATTTATTAATAATTTACATCTTAAGTTCCAATGCATACATCTTTTATAAAGGGTACAATATTTTTTTATAATTTCTGTTTTGCTGTTGAAGCTTTTCAATTTAATATTATTTCGTTTCAAATTTCAAAGTTGCAAATGTCCTTTTTAACACTTCCTCATTTGCTTCAGGAACTCTGTGGAAACAAGAAAGATTCCTGTCTAACGAGGGGAGTCCTTATATGAAACACTATATGTGAACGGATCTATTTGTTATTATATTTAGTTTAGTATTTTCAAAAGATTTTAAGACTTGCTTCCTGATGAAATGCACAGTTAATGTTTGCAGTCTGAGGAATCATCATTTTAAACATTCGGAGCAGTTTGTGTCCTTTCTGCAGACGCTGATAATAATCATTATCATTATTACAGATAATAAAATTGCAAACGTAGACGACAGCTGAAACGGAGGAGAAAGATGGAGAGAGGAGGAGGAGGGGAGAAGAGACATGGGAAGTTAAATGGGGGGAGTTGAGGTTTGTACCTCTTCCTGCCTTTTCTGTCCCATTTTGGACATCACACGCGTCATGTGCTGGAGTTGAGAGGTGTTTTAAGGGTGAAATCAAGTGTGTTGCCAGTTTGAAGTGTGGAGATGTCAGGAGGGAGAGGTCAAAGAGGGATACGAGAGAAATGATGTAATTAAACTTCTCTGCAGGGGGGGGGGGGGGGAAGACGCCATGGAGGGTTGGCATTGTCCCCATCTCTAGGAAATGTTAGTGTTTCCTGGAATGTGGGCAGAGCTACGAGGGCGGAGGTTTGGATGAGTTTTTACTGTGACGGAGAGTTTCCATGGGGGCCGACATGAGGTTAGAAATGTTTTCACAAGACTATATTCAGACAACACTCAACATACAGGGTTATATACATCTTTAAACCCTAATGGGGCTAGAGCATGACAGTGCTGTACTCCTCTCTTCAGTTTAGTGCCACTAGACCATTTAACTGAGCGGTTGTGACTGACTGTACAAGAGCCAGTACAACACCTGGCAAAGAGGCAGAGTAGTGTCTTGTAGCCTCAGAGATCTATTCCAGGCCCAGCAGTCAGAGATTAACCCTTGACCCTGGGATAATTACGTCAGATCCCTTTAATCCTAAACAATTAAGCGGTGGCAGTGACGGCCCTTTAACTTGAAGTTCTCTCACAGAAGAGATGCATGCTGGTCCTGTGATTGTGATGGCGTCTCAGTGGAAAAGACACACGTCAGGAGAGGCATGTGGACGTGATAATAAGTCATTCCAAATAAATGTGTACTTGTTATTTAACTCATCACCGTGGAACCACCATAATGTCATTTGTGTAAATCAAGTATGATGATGATAATCTATTTAAATTTTCATTTGATCTATTATTCAGCCAGGAAGGTCCCATTTAGATACAAGACCTGTTCTTCCAGAGAATACGGGTCAAGACTCGGCAGCTCAAGCTTTTTCGCGTTTCTAAAATGAAATTTCACATGTTAGAACACATACAGTACGTAAAGGCAACACAAGGGAACATATTAAAAGAAGATCATGTAAAAAGACAACATGTTTCCTTTAGGGCACTTTGCAGAAGATCTATAAAATGGTATTGAAAGAAGGGAGTAAGTGTGAAGGTCATATATTCAGTCTTTTTTAAATTAAGTGTCACTTTTAACAACAGTGATTGAAACAGCTCCATGGATAATAAAGGTGGTGGTGATAGTAACAGTAGCTAACAGAAGCACTAGTACCAATATTGAGAATGCTGTTTTGTATTCTGCCTTTATTGTTAGCTCTACGCTGACCTCTAGTGGCCTTACGAAGTACTTCTACTGCTCAGCTGACAGTCAGTATTTGTCTATTTCAGTCAGCAGAGGACGTCTGTACCCACTGGACTGTTGGTCACTTGTCTCTGTGGCTTCTAAAGTTGAATCATGGACATGATGAGAAATGACTCTGTTGATCTGGGTATTGTGCTTCTTCCATGGGAAGCAATGCTCAGATACACAGGACTCAGAGAAAATTAAGCCAGACTCTGCTTTTCCTAAAAATAAAGATTTGATTGAATTCAAATGACCTTTTTATTAAAGAGAAAAGGTCTGATGGACCACAACGGGATGCAGTGAATACATGTGAGAGAATCAATAACATGAATAAACACTGCGGGGAAACACTGGACCCTTTGGTCAGTTCATGGAGACATACACCAGAGAGAGGAGGTCATGAGGAAGTATGTGGGCAAAGTGATGAATACAAAGTCATAAGGACAAAAACAGCATCTACGTCAAATCGAAAAGTGTTTAATACCAATCAGAAATTAAAGCTGCGAGCAGCGATGAACGGGCCCCCGCATCCTCCAGCGTGTCCGGGGTGCCAGCGGGACTCCGGCCTGCGCGCCCGAGAACGTCCGCGACAGTCGGACAGCGCGTCCGCGAGTGACACGTTTTTAATCCCGCGTGGACCGCCTGATGCCGGAAATGATGCTTTGCAAATAGTCCGATGCTTCCTGTATCCGCTGCCTGGCGCTACAGAACACGTGCAAACATGCATCATGTAGCTCTGTGTCAAATGTAAACCACATTGTGTAAAAGTCATGTAAATCGGAGGTGTTTATCATAAAATCCAGATTTCCTTTGGCCAGCAGGTGGCGCTGTGAGTATTACTGGAAATTAGCTCGTAGACATCCTCAGGCCATGAGTGTTATCAAGCATGAGAAGTTTGGGACCGTTTGGAACAAGTCCAGCTGAGTTACATCAGACATTTCCTTTAGCCAGTAGGCTTTGCGGGTTTACTGTAGCGCCCCCTAGTGGTCGAATGCAAAACAATTCTCAGGGTATGTTACTGGATACGATGTGCACATATGCTGAATATTTTGGGAATTTAGAACAAATGGTTGAGAAGTTATGTGTGTTGATATTTTGCCACACACCTAAGAAGTGTATTGGTCCATATCTTGTAAACACAAAGAGATATCAAAAAGATTTTGATAACTTTTGATGATTTAGATCCACTTATGATCCACAGCAAATTTCGTAGAAATCGGAGCCAGCGTGTAGGAGTTCGAAAAAATGTGTTTTTTTTCACTAAATTCAAAATGGCTGACTTCCGGTTGGGTTTAGAGCTTAGAGCTCTAGGGGCTTTTTTGTCAGTCTACATGTGATACATCTGTTTATATATCTAAATTTTATATATAGATAGTGAAACGTACTGCAAGGGCTGCATCGTCTAAATATTGTATAAATTCATACAAAATTGAAAATGGCAGACTTCCAGTAGGGCTTAGAGCATGGTCCCAGGAGACTTATTTTTAAGTCTCCATAGGATACATGTGCCTACCAAGTTTCATACATGTAGCCAAAACGTAGCGCTGGGGCTGCTCTTTTGAAATCTTGTAGGGGGCGCTATAGAGGCAATTTAAAACAGCCAATAAAGAAAATCATATAAACTATTTCTTCCAATGACCTGTGACACGTACAAAGTTCCATGAGTTTTTGAGCATCCCAACCCACTAAACCATCAGCTTCCTTTTTCATGGCAAACTATGCGTCGCCACGGCAACAGCGTGGAACGAAAACTCACAATATTCATGGCAATTTATCATCAATGTCTTAATACTATCCTTACCAAATTTGAGACATCAGGTCACCTGGCTAGGAGGAATAAATAAAAGTATAAAATATGACATTTCCTTTAGCCAGTAGGCGGCACTATGAGTTATTGAAATATTTTCAATTGAAGTATGTTTAGGCTTGAAGTAGCATCATGCATAAGAAGTTTTGTGCGAATTGGATAATGTACCTTGGAGTTATAACAACTTCTTTTTTCATAAACAATGAGGCAAAATGGCCGCCACGCCACGTCAAGGTTCTTTGATGAAAACTCTCGATTTTGATAACTTTTAATCACAAAGGTCTTACGAGCATCCTGACCAAAGTAGAAGTTGATCGCTTAAAATCTCTAGGAGGAGTTCGTTAAAGTGCGAAGGCTGAAATCTGCAAAAAGTGACAAAAAGCACAACTTTGAGGGTTTACTGTAGCACCCCCTGGTTGTTGAATGCAAAATATATCTCAGGGTATGTTAGAGGATGCAATGTGCACATATGCTGAAAATCTGGTAATTTTAGGACAAACGGTTGAGAAGTTATATGTATTGATATTAAGCCACGCCCCTAAGAAGTTTATTGGTACATATCTTGTAAACGAAAAGAGTTATCAAAAAGCTTTTGATAACTTTTGATGACGTAGATCCAGTAATGATCCACAGCAAATTTGGTAGTAATGGGACTAAGCCTGTAGGAGGAGTTCGCAGAAATGTGTTTTACACTAAATTCAATATGGCGGAAAATCTAAGTAGACGGAGCTTAGGGGTCTGATTGGCTTTTTTGTAGCTCTAGCTCAAGTGGACATGTGTGTCAAATTTCAAGTCAATCGGACATACTGGCCGAGGGGCGTCGCCGGTCCGACTTGTAGGGGGAGCTAGAGAGCCATTTCTTAACACAGAAAGATGCATTCTTTTTCAGATGGCTATATTCACCAGGCCTGACAAGTCCCCAAAATTTGGTGAGTTTTCATGCATGGCAAGTCCTCCAACCATGCGTACGTTTACCCAAACGGGTACAATATCAATAGGGCCTTCGCGGCCCGACGTCGGTAGCTCGGGCCCTAATGAATACACGCCAAACTAGGATGTCTCAAACACACATTAAAGCATGCATTCGTCACAGAACACATTCCTACAGTCGGTAGGTCCGTTCAGTGTTTGAACAATAAAGTACTGTAAACAGATGTATCACAACATTGTCAGAGACAGTAGGTGGACTAGAATGGGCATTAAGGACGTAGATTAGTGATTTGCAGTGGGTGTAAAAAAGCTTTTCTCAGTCGCATTGTTGCATATCTGGAACCATCCTGTAAGCATCTGAAAACGCTTGGTGCAAACAGCACCACACACATCGATTACATGCAACAAACAAAATTGATAATTAATCACTCACAAGTAAATATTTCAGTAACCATATTAGTGCCATCAGAATGATATGTTCTTGTGTCATTGTTTCACAAACAGGATATAGGTATAATGCTTGGCTAAGGTTCTGATCACAGTGATAGAAAATCCTGCACTTCTTCTGTATGGCATATATATATATATATATATATATATATATATACTGTATATCATATTACTGTATGTGGCAGATTGAATATGATTCACATATACACCTTTACTGTCTGTACTGTAATTTGTTGACCTGTCCATGTCATTGCGATACAGAAAAGAAAAAGACAAGACAGAGGAACAAAAATACTAAATACTTTTTTTGGGGGTGGTGGATCTGATATAGCATAATATATATATATAAAATATAGACATAACAGTATCAGACAGAACATTACATAAGTAACTGATAATGTAGGAGACCATAGACAATTGTACAGAAGTACAAGTGTGTCAAAGCATTTTCAATTTGTTCAAAAGTGTGAGAAACTACTTCTATGATGTGGATGGTGCTGCAGCACAGCTCAACAGCTGCCACAGAAACGGGAGAGCAGACGAGTTAAAAGTATTAAACATGACATCAAACATGGCAAGTCAGAAATCAGTAATGTAAACATGTGCTGGAGAGTGAAAACGTCTGAGACAAACAAAACCAAAAGAGCAGCCGTGTCTGCAGAGGAAGAGCTGGTCCACGTTCAGCGTGTGAGCTTTCATATGGAACCCCAACAGGCTCAGGCTCATCAGCTGACGACCAGAGTCCCTGAAGAGAAGGAACACAGACCACTAGTGGATTGGGGGGGGTCGTCACAAAGGTTGAGCAGGTAGTTTTGAGAATTCTAACATTTAAATTTGGAGACGGTGGTTTGATGGTTGGTTTAACTGCCCATTTAAAAAAGATATATTCTGGTGTTTGTTAACAGTGAAAAGAAACAGGAAACATGGAAGTAAATATCATCAAATCAGGCATGTAAACAACAACAGTGACATACAGTAAGGCCGGACTGTTACGGTGAGGCATTAAAGGGCCACTCCAAAGACTTTACACATTATGTGAACACTGTTTTTTTTACTTGTGTGCCTTTAAAACATGCTACATGTACTGTAGTTAAAACACAATACAGGATAGGGACATAATATCACTTTAATGGAATAGAAATAGATGAAAAGTTAACTAGAGTAAGAAACAAAATGAAATCTGAAATTAATATCTTTCCCTCTGAACTCTTACATCATATCATATCTGGATTAGACGTGCTAACAGCTGCAACAAGCTCTAGAGAACAGGGCAGTGTTACAGCGGACATGCATCCGCTCCTACTGTAACTTCCTGCTGCCTCATCCACATCAACACACCCCTCCCTAGCGGGGGGACACATGACACCAGGAAGAACTCCCTCCACACATCACATCTATACATGGCCTCGGCCTATACTGAACTGACTGGGCTGATTCTTAATGGTTGAATTAAAACATGTTTCTGCCATACTGAATACATCTGAAAAAGTTACTGAACTAGCAGGTTTGCCTTTGGTGCTCTCTGTTGTTGAGGAGCTTGAGTCAAACTATAGGCATAAGAAGACAATAGGGTTCCTGATAGAGCCAGGCCCAAACCCACACCACATCCTGTCTGCCTCTCTCCTCTCTCTGCAGGGATTCTCCACTTCCATCCCGGGGGCCACTTATGCTAGTTGAGAGAAGGCCAGGGGCCAGTTAATAAACATTATTAGTATCAGATAAAATAAGACTTTAGAAGGCCTTATTTTAAAAATGATTTTCTTTGAAATGAACTGATTTTATTATTTGGGGCTTAGCCCGGACCTCTCCTCACCTGGCAATTTTATTTCTTCTATTTTGATGATTTTTTATGCACCGGGCACCAGTAAGCTGTGTATCACAGCCTGCTGTTTTCATACTATCAGATACGATGTTGCCACTAAGTTCAATACGTCTGTGTCTGTCGGGTGCTTCATCTGGCAAGACCACTTCTCTGACACCATCAGCACTATTCGTTATGTAACACTGAGGTATCAGACATGTGGCTTGAGGTTTCGTCTCATTCATTTGTGTTATTGTCAGATGGACTGATGGACTGTATATGTTTATATCCCGCTTGTGATAGAGCTGTGCAGCTATGCGACCTGATTCCCTACACAGATCTTTTGTTTCAATGTCTTCTGTGGCACCTCACATTTCATCAACAGCAAGTCAAAGAAATGTCACAATCAATGGGAAGGGAAGCCACAGCAATGTCAAGAGGCCAAAATAAAAATTGAAATAGTTTAAGTTCTCGAGGATTCTGGCTACCTCATGGGCGGATTATGAGAAAATGGGCCCGTGGGCACAGACATGCAAAAGGCCCCACCACCTCTATACACAGGAGCATAGCCTCTTTCTGTTTTGTGTCTCTCTGTAGTCGTTTTGCATCTCTCTGTGGTGTTTTTCGTTTCTCTTTGTGGTTGTTTTGTGCCCCTTTTCATAGCTGCTTGAGTCTCTTTATGTCTCTTGTGTATCTTTGTAGTCGTTTGATGTGTCTTTGTGGTCATTTTGAGTTTCTCCCTCTCTTTGAGATACATTTAGGCCAAAAGGGGCCCTGGTTTGGGCCCCTGTGCCTGTGCCTAGTAGGCCCGTTCAGTAATCCATCTATGGGCGTAACCCCTGCATTGTCTCAAATCAAGTGGCAGAGTGAGAGAAGGGCAGTTACAGGGTGGGGGACAGAAAACAAATGAATGATCTTTATTCATACTGAAAAAGTTTAGAAGGAGTAACACTGAGTTTTCTACATTTTTCATAACCTGAAAAGTTTGTTGGATGAGTTCAGAAGTGAAGCCAGCATAATGTAAAAGCATGTAAACGTTTGTAATGGTATAGCTCCATTTTATAAATGTACAAATAACCCAAAAAAAACAACAGTAATACCATAATTACGTTGTGTATGACAAATATAACTCTTGTTCATTTCATTGAAGCAGCTGAGTGAGAGTGAGATTATCAGTAAGTAATGAGGGGACACTTTGTTATGGGTCACTGACTGGTAGCTGTCTGAGGGCTCCAACTGGGCTCCAATTTCAGGCTTTAGGACCTGGAGGGGGAGGATTCTGCCCTGAATACTATGGGCGGGACAAGCCTGAGAGGAAGAGCCCAGTGCAGAGATTTTAATGCTCTGCAAACTGGGCATGGACACTCCTGCAACTGTCTCACACAACTCTGATTCCAACCATTACATACATTAACTTGACATAGAGCAGATCAGCGCTGGGGGATCTATTTGTAAGCAAGCTTGAGGAGAACGTGCTGAATTATTGAAAACCTAATAAGGTAAGATAAAAACCTAATAAGGTAAGATAAAAAGTACTGGGAGTGAGGGGGGGAAGGGAGACTATGCAGAGCAGTGTTCAACTGGTGGGAAATGCCCAGGCATGTGAAAAGAGGCCACAGAGTCAGATCTGCAATAAGCTGTTTAAGATTCTGTTGCAGATTCAAGCAGTGTGGTTCATCCAAGCTGTTAGTTTCTTATTCAAATATAAGAAAACAGCAGAATACAATGTCAAAGTATGTTTCTCAAAGTTAGAAAATAATGAGTTCAGGATTTAGGGAGTTGTCCGTCTCTTTTAAACTGATTTAATCGGTGTCATTTCTTCTACCTTAGTCTACATATTACACTGAAGTTTTCCAAAATACATCACTTTGTTATTGATGACCTTTACATACACAATGTCTCTTGTGCATTGAAACGTCACAAGATAGTTTCTCATCATCCATTTATTAAAGTCTCAAACTGGCATGGATCTACGAAAAGGTTCTGAAGGACGTGAACTAAACTAAATGTACCAATGTCAGTCACAGGGTTATTTACAGAGTATGATTTCAACAGGTCACATGCAGTGTTACTTTACTAATGCTATTTAGATCATATCATCAGAATTTGATGAATCTATTCATCTGCATTCATTCTGTTCTAACTTGCAACGCAGAAAAGATTCATCTTCAAGTACTATTTTAAACATACAACTAAAGACAGCATTTTAAGAATAATGTTGACAAAGAGTCTCAGCCTTTTAGAAGTCATCTCTTTCATGCACACGTCTCAGTCAGAGATCTCTCCCATCTTTCTCTGTGAGCCTGTAGAAACATGTCTTGGAAGCTGCTGAGAGGAGACTCCTCATGTATGTCATTCCTCTCGTTTAAGAGTGCTATCTTTATTGCATTTTATTAAGAGGCTGATACTTGGCCAATCATCTGTCAGTACACAGACTGATTTGTATTGTTCGATAAAACTATAACAATAACTGGCCATTTGCACAAAACCTCCTCTTCTTAAAGCACACATGCTCTCTATATACGTGGACTGGAATAAAAACATTGGTTGAGTGTGTGTCAGCACGTAGTCACTTCTTCCACACCAAGAGGAACCAATCAGCAGTAAGCACACATATTCCTCTCTAGATACTTTTTATAATCTTAAAACTTTTGTGTTGCCAGGACATGAAGGACTCAGCCCAGGCTGGCCAAAATGTTTGGCTTAGTTGCATCCTGCAGCTGCCTGCGTGGCTGTTATGTAAGTCTTGCCCTGAGGTCTACTGGGAGAGATCTTGCTGGAGTGGTACCAGCTAACCCAGCTCCCCTGCTATTATCCTAAAAAACGGCAGAGTTAACCCTAAATATGTAACAAAATGGGCTCCCGAGTTTGGAAAAGTGAGGTGAACAAGACATTTCAAATTGAAACAGAACAAACATCACCCAAGAGTTTTCCATCTTCTCAGTAGGCTAGGGCAGTATGGCCAAAGTCGTCTATCACTATAGATCATTTAATATCATGATAACGATATTTATCGCATGTTTTCTGGTAATTCAGTCAATAGTCTTTATGAAATAACCACGTGGTTTGGTAAACTCTTGTGTGAATTAAATGCTTGACAAATGACAATACTGAGTATTTTATCATTTTATCATTTACTTACTACAACAAATTTGAGCTGGTATGTGCTGATTAAGTAATATCTATTTAGACAATTTTGTATCAATTGTGTATCATGATATCTCGATGTGTGATTTCATCACGATACATTGAAAGAAGCTAAATAATCATTTTGAATTATGGCCCAGCCCTACTTCTTAGGTCAGCGCATCACATGAATGACGGACGTTTGTCTTCATGTCCTCTCACAGGTTTTCTCCATAGCGGTACACCATGTGGGTGACTAACCTGGCAGCCCTGGTCCTCCTGGCCTCTTCAGCTACAGCTGCCACCTCGGCCTCACCAGACAAAGTCCTGAGTAACCACGCCACCATCCTGGCTGACAACAGCGCGAAGCTGGCTTTCAGTCTCTACCAAAACATGGCCAAGGAAAAAAGTGTGGAAAACATCATCATATCCCCCGTCGTCGTGGCCTCCTCTCTGGGTCTGGTGGCTCTTGGGAGCAAAGCCTCCACTGCCTCTCAAGTAAAAACCCTTCTGAATGCGGCTAAAGTCAAAGACGAGCAGCTGCACTCCGGTCTGGCAGAGCTCTTGACCGAGGTGAGCGACCCAAAGACCCGCAATGTCACCTGGAAGATTAGCAACCGCCTGTACGGACCCAGCTCCGTCGCCTTCGTGGAGGATTTTGTCAAGAGCAGCAAAAAGCATTACAACTGTGACCACTCCAAGATCAACTTCAGGGATAAGAAGAGCGCCGTGAGCTCCATCAACGAGTGGGCGGCCAAGTCTACCGATGGCAAACTGCCCCAGGTCACCAAGGATGTAGAGCAGACTGACGGGGCGATGATCGTCAACGCTATGTTTTTCAAACGTGAGTCTACTCCTCATACGACTTGTGTATGTGCATGTTATTTCTATAAAAATGCTCTCAGAATGAATACTTTTTTTGTTTCTCACAGCTCACTGGGATGAGCAGTTCCATCATCAGATGGTGGACAACCGTGGATTCATGTTGCCCCATAGCTACACTGTTTCAGTGCAGATGATGCACCGCACAGGTAGGTGGAGAAAGTTCAGAAACAACACGTGTGACACTTTATGGAGTAGATCCACATTTTGGGAAAAATGCTGGAGTCTATAAACAACAATCTGCCTTTTTATGGTGGGTTATAGATACAGTTATGGAGCGCTGGAATGAGTCCTAAAACCAGATTATCTTGTCTCGAAGTCAATGGGTAGACCATTGCAGATCCAACATCAGAGCTAGACACTAAAAACACTGCTTTCTGCTAAAAATGCAATCCTGTGCATTTTATATGCTAAAATTACAGTTAGGTGACCTCACACCTGTTAGTGATGATGCAGAATGACAATGATTCATAAGTGTATTAAATCCCATCTTAACCTTCACAATAGTGAATGAGTGAATGTGGGATGATCTATGCTATAGTCCAACACTTAGCAGATTAGAGATATATTTTGTTTCCTCAGGCCTCTATGGCTTCTACAATGACAAAACCAACAAGTTAACTCTCCTGAGCATGCCTCTGGCTCATAAGAAGTCCACTATGGTGTTCATCATGCCCCACCAAGTGGAACCTCTGCAGAGAGTGGAGAAGATGCTCACCAAGAAGAAACTGGATACGTGGATGGGCAAGCTGCAGCAGACAGCGGTGGCCGTGTCTCTGCCCAAAGTCAGCATGGAAGTCAGTCACAACCTGCAGGTAGGAGATGCAAAAGAACAGCACCTCGGACTTAATGTCTAGCTTCTTTTACACGATCTGAATATCTGCTCCTGTTCAGAAACACCTTGGGGAGCTGGGCCTGACGGAGGCCGTGGACAAATCCAAAGCCGACTTGTCTAGAATCACCGGGAAGAAGGATCTCTACCTGGCCAGTGTGTTCCACGCCTCTGCCATGGAATGGGACACCGACGGCAACGAAATGGACATGAGCATCCTTGGCACGGACAAGCTGAAAAACCCCAAACTGTTCTACGCGGACCACCCTTTCATCTTCCTCGTGAAGGACCAGAAGACAAACTCCATCCTATTCATAGGCAGGATGGTCCGGCCGAAGGGCGATAAGATGAGAGATGAGCTGTAACCACATTCACTTAAAAGCCTGGCTGTGTGTGTGTGTGTGTGTGTGTGTGTATGTTCTACTGCGGAATGCAGAGAGAAGTGGGAAATGAAAGCGCATTCCTTCACGTCACAAGCCAACAGCATTCCACAATACATGACTGAAGAGATGTGTTTCAACATTTGATCCTGTGTTTTAGTGCACAGCCTTCCTTTTTTATCGTGAAGAATATTTGATATCTTTTCTGTTTGCATTGGCATATCACAATATGGACTGAAGACTTACATTAAGTATGATTTCCCTGATTATTGCTTCAAAATATGTTGACAAGTCTTAACAATGTAAAAGGTCTACAACAATCTTACTTCTGCACCGATGGTGCTTGTTGTTTAATTTAATAGTATGTTTCAATTTGTCAAGCGCAGTTGCTTTTAATTTGTTAACTCCGAGGACATTTACAATTGTTTCGCCCATCCTTTGCACTGCTCTCCAACACAAGCATATAGTTTGAACCAATATGCTACGTTGCTGTTTTTCTTATTGATCCTCCCTGAATGCACTGACCTACACTGGCAAACAAACCAAAGCATGGCAGATTGAATAAAACCTATCTATAATATGCACGTACAATTTGACAATTTCAAAATATGAATAGTTTTAGACTATTACAAATTTCCAGTTTTTGCAATAAAAGCACGGGAATAATAATAATAATAATAATACATCAATTTTCTATAGCGCTTTTCAAGATACCCAAAGACGCTTTACAGGGCAAAGACAAACAGAACAAACAAACAATATATAATAATAATAAACCACCCCCAACCAAGTGTCATCTTAATTTGAGATATTTTGTGCTGACATTGTCCGTCGTGAAACAGAAGACTCCGACTCATTCAACCAGTTTGATTTGTCTGCTCATGTCTGTTTGTAACAGCAGTTTGTTCTTGGGCAGGTCTGGTGAGCTCAGGTCTCCAGTGGGACCCAGCTGAATAGCATGAGAAAAATTCCAGCGAGGGTGACTATGTCCTGCTGGGCAGCCCTACGCCAGCGAGGAATGTGGTGGAGTTGCAACACACTGCATGGTAAACATTGGCTCTTAATCAGTAAACTGTTCATGTTTAGACAAAACTAAATATTTGGGTACGTCAAGATGGGTCCGGCAGCTGCTCCAATGAGCAAGGCACTGGTTAAAAGCCACACCATCAACCTCCCACCTGATTGTTAGCATTAGGCTGACTATAAAAACTTATAGAAAAACAGTTGATAAAGACCAAATGATTCGTTATTTAATGGAAAAGTGGTTCAATAACACGAAAGAATAATTGAATTTACTTGACTAAACAGAAGATTACAAAGAAGATTTGTTGAGTGAACATGAGAGTATCTTATATCGTTGCATTAGTGGACCTTTTTTAGCGTATCACACCACCTAGAGGACATGTGGGTTCATGACAGAACAAAGATGTTTTTCATGTGGTGGACAAATTACATAATTTATAATCTATCACACGACATTCATTGGAGTATTGCATAAATAATGTGCAAAACTATATTTAACTATAAAACTGAAAAGGGGGAACTGCGACAGACATGAAGTGAACAGATTTAGACCTTTATCTTACTTCAAAAATATTATTCAGATGAACCCTAATCAGGCAAAATGCTCAGCAATATTTTTTTAAATCATGCCTGATGTTTTATTAGAAATATCTTTACTATTATGATTTTGAGATAATTGTAAAGTAGGAAATGTCTATCATTCCAGTGAGTGCCTTAAATTCATGTAAATGATCTTCAGTTGTACCGTGGGAAGAGGTCAGGTCCTGTATGTAATAAAGTAGGTGTTTCTCTCCCCGAGAAATGATGCCATTAAGATTACGGCATCAACATCTTAAACTTGGTCATCACTGTGCTTTTACTTGAGCTGCATTACTTGAAGAAAGAATCATTGGAGCTGTTGATCTAAATGCTCTTTAACGAGTCAGCCTGGAGGAATAGAGGAATATGGTGTGTGCTGTACTGTATAGGCTGCAGTCTTAAACCTAACCTCCTTATAATGAAGTGCTGTATGCTGTTTGTCAGTCACTTGCCATATGGTGGGAGATATAAGTGCATGAAGTGCAGGACTGCTTACCTTAAAGCAATCCTTCATTTTATAATTCAACAAGCTGACTCCATCTGCTGGTCTTTTTTGTGTATTTTATCCTGTTTTGCTTGTGACATTGCATTGTGTCTCTTGACTGTATTGCGATGTTGTGCATGCTTGTTGGCCCGTGTTCCTCTTTTGTCTGAGCTGCCCTGACAAATTCTGTCAAATTATTGCTGATTTGGCAATAAAGAACTGGAGTGAAACTTATTCATCTATTGGTTGCTATGGCTTTCCATAAACGGTAATATACACAGGAAACAAAACGAATGTAATTAAAAAGACTACTTTAGGGGTGTTTTGTGTAATGCACTTATAATAATCTTTATCATATGTCACCAGCAAACACATGCCATAAAGATTACAAACACAAAAGGGTATTTCATTCTGGATTCTTCAAATATCCATTTTGCACAATTAGCAGGCTACATACACAAGGTTGATTTTATTTTAGGTTACAACTGAGCATAGGCCTCAGTATCAAATAAAACACTTGGATTTGTTCCAAAGTTGTTTGCTACCCATAGTCTGCATTTAGAATGATATTGCGTGGAGCTAAATAACACACTTATTTAGTGCTAACGGTAGTAGGTTACAATTTACAGGCTGCTATCTGTATTTGTGTAACAACAGCCATACTGGACTTTGTTCTGCCTTCCCATCGCGCGCGAGGAGGAGGGCTCGCGGAGTGCTCGTGCTGTGGTGCTCGTGCTGTGGTGATGGGACTACAAACCCGTTAGCGCCCACAGCCTCCTCCTCTTCCATCATGGCTCCCTCGGCAGACAGGCAAGGATACTGGGGGCGGCCGACCTCAACGCTGGACTGGTGCGAAGAGAATTATGTCGCCTCTTTTTACATCGCGGAATTTTGTAAGTGAAATATCATTTTAATTTTTCCCACTGAAAATGGTGACTTTGTGGTTCGTATTAACGGACTATCGGGTAGAGCTCCAGGTTGCTGTGTACGTACTGTCGCCCCTCAATAACGTACACATGAAATGAGAGCAGCGGCTGTAATCATCATTTACTGTGTTTATGTTCTCGTGTTATCTCGGCTAATACGAACGTTCGGTTACGTAGTGTAGCCTAAGCTAAGTGTTAGCTAGCTCATACGGCATTTTACCAAGCGCTAACGAGGAAAAGCTGTCCTGTCACCTGTTTTGCATAGAGCTTTACTGGAGGGTGCAGTGAGTGTGAGCTAACGTTATCACAGACCCGATACACTTTAACATTGCATTGTTCCACATTGGCACTCATTTGTATTTCAAGTCGACAAACATTACGTGGTCTTATATTTCTTTCTCACAAGGTGCATGTTAGTTATTCACACTTGAAAACTTGACGAAACATTTCCTTCCCATCGGGTTAACTCATTGCTTTGTCTAACGATAAAGAAACGGGTTCCTCAGGAACCATTATTGTAGATACAGTGTCAACTGTTTAAAAAACTGCTATGTCAGCGGGATTTTAAGCAGAAATGGCATGGAGGCTTCACGCAGTCAGTGACACGCTTTCCTTCTGAAGCATTGAGCCAAACTAATGGACACTGGACAACAACTCTGAAATAATACTTTAGAGTTACTCATTAATGTGCAGGGAGATCAAGAGAACTAGGCAACGCATTTAAAAGTCTTCTTTACAGTGTGTGCATTAATTAACTAATAAGTAACCTTCATACAAAACGAAGCCTTTTTCAATTAATGCCTGCCACAATAAATTGGCATTAAGCTAGAAATACTATTCTATTGTGAAGAATGTATATAGATTCACAGAATCATTGTAGAATTGAAGGTAAACTCTTTTTAGTACAATTTTCACTGTGTTGAGGAACTTGCAGTTGCTGTTGGAGATGCAACAGTTAGTCCAAGGTAAACTGAAGCCAAGTGGGTCAGAGTTTAGTTTATTGTTGCTCTTTTATCTTCTGTGTATTTTGTCCACGCCTTTAGTGATACACTTCATTTTATTGTCCTAATCCGCTTTACTCAAGGCCACTACTTGTGGTGCACATGTTGTAGGCCTAATCGATCCAGCACACCGTGTTCATTCATTTCCTTGTTTCTAAAACACAAGCTTTGGTGTGAAAGCTGCATATCAAGGATACTGAGAGTTGAAGCTTTGCCCAGCTAAAGGGTCATTTTCTGCTGCAGAAGAATTGTTTGGATTCAATGGCTGGAATGTGGTATTGTTCACGTGGAAAAGACTAGCGACACCGGTGTGATTTTAATCCTCATTTGATGTGTGCTTTTGTGCATTATCTCTACATCAGCACATGGCTACGGGAGAAAGCAAGCACACAGAGGGAGGTCATAAAGTGTCTCTCACACGCATTCACATGTTTGCAGTTGTCATTTAAATGTGAAAACCAAACACTCATATGTTGTAGTATTCTTAGGGTGTGTGCATTTATTATCTGTAACCAAAGTCCACACATTTTAAAATGGACTCTGGCAACGACTCGTTGGCTTTTATCAGACACCTGCAGATAAAGGGTGTGTGTCAATACGAGCAAGCACTGGCACAGTGGCAGTATTCATTTTCAAACTACTCACAGTTTTTTGCAATTACCAAGTCTCAACAACTGGTACTTGTTGCAAAGTATAGAAAGCACTAACTCATGTAGTCTATCTGTTGACCAGCTGTGCTGCACCGTAAACACATTTTTATGCTTTACACTAAGTTTTGAAATTCTGAAACACAGTTATCTCCATTAGACTCTCCATTCATGTGTGTGTGCTAAAGAAACACCACACTCAATTATCAATCACCTGTACCCATAATGCACCTGTGAAAACACCAATTAGATCACTTAGCAATCAGAGCTTGTGCTCTATAAACAGGATTCAGGTTTGCTCTTTGGTGTGAAGAACAATGTAGAGAGAGTTAGGGGACTGTAAAGACAATATACTGTATTTAGTTTACAGTACAATATAGTAATGTATGCAGATGTTATAATGATCACACCATGTTACCCAGCCTGTCTCACAGAGGTGATCATTCAGAGGTGTTCAAACTGGTCATGTCGTCTGGCTCTAATTTGTCTCTGTTGTCTTTTTGAACAGGGAACACTGTCAGCAATTTGATTATGATTCTTCCTCCCATTTATGGGGCCATCCAGACGTTCCGAGACGGCCTCGAGTTTCGCTACATCTGCTCTTTCCTCGGACTGGCAGGTTAGTCCGTTGAAACCACAAATTTCATTAGCTCTTTCTTCTTTACATGTCGTAGTTATTGACGATAAAATATGCAGTTGTGCAGTATTTGCTGCTGGTGCCATCAATCGTATTTCGTACACTTGAGACTGTCCTGACATTCAAATGTAATGTTCTGTGTGGTTGTCTGTGCATCGCCCAGCTGTTGGTGTTGGTTCCTGGTGCTTCCACATGACGCTCAAATATGAGATGCAGGTGAGATGCAGTGTTGAATAAAAATCGTATTATTTCAGCAAAAAGTGGGAACAGAATCTTTTTTGATCAATTCCTTGATGAATCACACTCGTTGCCTTGGGAAATATTTGTAATGGATTTATGAGGTCAAACATTTTCTACCTAACGCCATGTCAAGTTATGTAGAAACAATGTAATCCTGTAGTGATATTAACATGTGTTCTCTTTGTATTCCCATTTGCAGTTACTGGACGAGTTGCCGATGATTTACAGTACATGCGTCTTTGTCTACTGTCTGTAAGTGGCTCAACCTTTTGGATTTATTGCTGTGACTGACTGTCACTGAGAACAGCATTAGTGTGATTGTGGCTGTAAAATGACTTTACCGACTTTATCCATTCCAAGAAAGTAGCGTATCATCTTCTTGTGGCTATTGATTCTAAACTGGACATAAGTACTTCTTCCATTTTACTACTGGTCAGGTCTGTGTTATACCCGTTGGCATATACATGTGTGCATGGTTGGGAGTGAATAGACTGAACCACTGCCTGTGTCTTGGGAAAACAGAGATGCCCGAGCGGGAACACTAAAGCGATGGATGACGGTGGGTTCGACAGGCTGTTCTTCAGGGTGTCTGGTTTGCCACGATCGACCTCGAGAATGCTTGTTTTTTTCATTCCCAGTATGGGAGGGACTCAGGCGCCACCTTAGGTTCGCAAGACTTTAGAGTTTCATGTCCTCCCATTCTGCACATCATTAGTGTTCCGCTCGGGCTGGGCAATATATATCACATAAATGTCTTTTCCTGGTTTTAAAGGCTGCATTGCAGTAAAGTGATGTCATTTTCTGAACTTACCAGACTGTTATAGCTGATCTATTATCTGCCTTTACCCACTTACTCATTATATCCACATTACTGATGATTTTTTATCAGAAATCTCATTCTGTAAATATTTTGTGAAAGCACCAATAGTCAACCCTACACTATTGTTTTTGTAAAGAAATCTGGTAAAAAATATTGTGACATTTGATTATATTGATATCGCCCAGCCCGACATCCCGCCCGCACATTAACAAGGTGCATGGATGCAGTCCTGGGACCCTTGGGCGGTCTTCAAATCGTAAACTATAACAACGACTGGGTGGTGGGGGCTCACTCTGGGAAGCAAGGCTGGAACAATGTGGCCCGGCTCCTGCAGCCCCTAAAACACCTAGACCTGCACCTCAACAGGAGGAAGAGCAGGCTCCAGTCCTCCCAGTGCTCCCAGTTCAGGCATGTGGTTGGATGCTAGGACAGGAACTTAACTCCCCTTCAGTGTTTGCCAGTGTTTGACATTGTTTTTTAAAGATGTTTTTCAAACTTAAATCAGTGCGTCGGTTGTGCGCTTAACGTGAGCGAGCGTCAGTGTGCGTCCGAGAGATAGAGAAGTTAGCAGTACCGTCGTAGCTGTTTGAGTACAGTTTATTTATCGGTGAATAAATGCAACAACACCTAAGCCAAGTCCCTGCGTCATGCTCGCCACCTGCTAATTAAAGTGAGTTGACTTTTAAGGTGGACCAGCCTCTGCGCTTTGCTCAGCACCACCCCTTAGTTACACATTTAACCTTCCGTTATTACTTGCTCTCTATTATTGATGTATTGTTTAAGCCGAACACGTAAAATAAACACATTTATTTATTTTTTATGTCCAGATATGAGTGTTTCAAACAAGAGAACAGCATCAGTGTGTTTCCTATTGCGCTACTATTGATCTTCAGTGTCTCAGTCACTGTGGTGAGTACCCACTTCCACTATAACGGCGATCATTTCGTTTGAACCATAATGGTGAAAGCATGACATCCATCATATGCTCCTGAGTAGTTCCTGTGTTTATGTCTGCAGGTGTACTTGCAGTGGAAGGAGCCAGTCTTCCACCAGGTAAGGGAGTGCTCTGCGTCACGCTCAACTGCCTCAGGTGGCTCATTATTTGCTATCAGGGCTCAGCGTGCCTGAAGTCATTTGTTACCTTGTGTAAACATATTGGGCTCGCCAACACAGCATACATCGCTCAGTTTGGTGCGTGCAGCACGCTGGCTGTATAACATAAAGTAGCAAATATGCAAAATGATGCAATATTTAATGTTTTTACTGTTTATTAATATGTAGCATTTAAAAGAAACATACTATGTCCCAAACTCAATGCTGAATCCAGTGGGATCAAAACAGTGAACACGACCTCATGAAGGACCATTTCTATATTCTTATCTTAGCTTTCTCTTACTTGTTTTCATACGCGTGCTCCTACCAGTGTGCTAAGTCTGCTTCAGATAACTGTGTAGATGACCGGCGTAAACATGATGTGTGTGAATGAGTGCTTTCAGAGCTACGCGTCCTGCCCCATATGTCCTATATTGAAGTCCTGCTTTCAGAGATCCATAAAGGAAAGTGTATCATTACAACAGCAGCAGCAGAATGAAGGGACCTGCTACAGACAAGGAATGGGGGAAAATAACTCGTGCTGTTAATGTGATATCACCAAAGGATCATACTCTTTGAAATAAAGAGCAAATGGTTCATATGAAAAACGTAGACGGATAAAAACAGACGTCAGAGGGGAATGTCACATGAGTCCTACGACAGGTCTGGACCACTTGAACATTTTGTTATCTGAGAAAAAGATGTAAATATGAGAAATGGTGAATCACTCATACGAGCCAAGACCCAATGTGTTGGTATGTTTCTTTCATAATCCTGACCATACAACCCTTTAAAGATAGACACGTGTGTTGTATCCTTCAGCCTCACATTGTGTTTGTGTTGCTTTGCAGCACAAAGCTGCCTTTGTTTGCTCTTTGTTTGCTGATCACACTGCTCTATGGTGGTTCATAAGGAGACGCACAATGTCCCTGTTCAACCACTGTGTATACACAGTGGTTCAAATCAGTATTTCCTGCTTTTAAATAGAGATTACACTGAAAGCATGTAGCATTTATGTTGGCTTTACTAATGTATGTGTATTTGTGGAATGTAGCAAGCAACAGATAGACTGTTTACTGTAACCAAGCAGCTCTATTTGTGAGCCTCAGTTCAGCTTCTGACCTTAGTGTGAACATGAGTTGTCTGCAGCTCAACCTTCACTCATTCATTTTCAGGATTATTGCACCTGAAGATGTAAAAACTCAATAATAAAAGATGAATAGTTAAAATCATGTATAGCTCAAATAGAGAGTAGTGACTTAATGGTCATTACACTCAAAGAAACGACATTGTTGGATGTAGAACATTTATTGGAAAGGCTATGCTAGCAGACTGTGTCAGCATTAATGTGTTCATCTTCTGGAAGTGACCAGAGGTCAAAGTGCAGGTGAACATTGACTAATACTTGTCTTCTTCTAGGTCATGTATGGTGCTCTAGTAGCTTGCCTAGTGATGCGATCTATCTTCATTGTTACATGGTAAGCTTGTCTAGAGGACCTTCAAAATTAAAAACATTAGCATATCAAAGGAATCCTTGTTCATTAATATTCAATGAAGCAACACGTTGCTAAAGGCTTTAGTCTTTGTTTCTTTTGTTTCAACGTTAGGGTGTACCCATGGCTCCGGCCGTTGTGCTACACCTCCTTAGGAGTCTTTCTGTTGGGGTTCCTACTGTGGAACATTGACAACATCTTCTGTGACACGTTGAGGTGAGTATTTGCAGTAGAAAGAAACTATGCGTCTTGTTATTATGTCTTAACGTGCTTGATTTTAAGATTCTCATTTAACAGCTGCGGTGTGGAAAATGTTCAGTCAGTGACATTAATGTGACATCATAGCAATAATGTGAATCATTTATTCATCTCAAGGACAAGTCAGGACACTCCAAGTAATGTCAACTCATTTACTGCTGAATAAGAAACTTAACTCATTTTAATCTAAAATGCACGTTTAGATTTTGATTCAAAACTTTTGAAGTACAAATGTCTAAAATAAAACCTTTATAAAGACAGTTAGTAAGCATCCTGTTGGAGTGTTCTTTCTTGTGTATTAATTGAAGTTCTTGGGTCTCCAGAACCAGTAGACAAATGCTGCCCCCTGGTGTTGGAGTAGTGACACAGTTCCATGCCTGGTGGCACATCTTCACAGGCCTTGGGTCCTACCTGCACATACTTCTCAGGTGAGTGTTACGCCTCCATGCTGGCGGCAGCTGTGGAATTATGTTTCCCAGTCGTTCCATTCTCGTGAACGTGATATCGCTGTAAGCCTGGAGGGAATTTCTTCAAATTTGGCACAAACGTCCACTTGGACTCAAGGATGAATCGACTAGAATTAAAAACAAAACACATTTTTGACCATAAGTGAAGAATCCATGTTGTTATTCAGATAAATGTCTAAGAGGATAAAATGATGAAGTGATGACATTTATGACAAACATGGATTTACACTGTGACATGACTGGTTGGCGGAGGAATACAACTGCGAGGCTGTGGTTGTGGTGAGACATGCTCATTGGTTTTAAAATCTAATGCTCATCTTCTTTTAGCCTGCAGATCAGGTCAACCTACCTCAAGCACAGGCCCAATGTAAAGGTACATCTAGCCCTGAGACATTCTATATAGTGCAGCTTTTATGGAAACGCATTCATTCATTCCATTATCTGCCTTATCCTGACTTTGTCCAGTTTCTTTGTGGAGTCTGGCCCACGTTGCACATTGATCCACCGAAGACGAGTTGAAATGAAGGGGTGGGGACCGACTGAAGGACGGTGACTGCCATACCCAGACACCATCGGCACAGGGACCTGCCAATGACCACTGCTGGAAACTCAGCCACAGCTAGGGGGCAGGTGGACCCCGAGGCACCACCCCAGGGACCCCGTGGTTCTGCACTGTGGTGATCTTACAGTAAACAGTAAAGCAGTCCAGTTAAAAGAAATGGAAGATTTCTTTTCCATCAGTCATATTTTCATAGATTAGCTTTTCTGTAATCTTACTGAAGTGTAATAATTGTATTTGCTAATTTAATTTAATTGCAAATATGACGTGTAGGCCACTGCAGTGGTGCATATTGAAGGGTATCGTGTTATCTTAATTAGTAATGCTTGGGAGCAGGGAACACGGTGTCATGGCCATTAGCTATTATTGTTGTATGTTTGATGCTGTGGCTATTTGAACCTCCTGAGCCTAAAGCTATTGAAATAGATCCCTAAACTAAAGTATAACTAAGACTTTTGCATACGTGTAGTTTTAACACAGTGTTGTCATAACCCGTTTCAAGGAGTGTTGTATTGCTTTTAGATGTGATCACTACAGTTGGGATAGAAAGTGAAAGTGAGACTGTTATTGTAGCTCAGCTGTCTGGACTAGAAGACCCTCCTGCATTTTTACATTACTCAAGTTTTACTCCCAAAACATGCCAAGACTGGAACGATCAATTCTCCTTTTCTTTCTTTGCCAAATTTGCTCTGTGATTTTAAACAGTCATGTAACGTGCGAGGCCTTCTAATGGTTTGCCTCGTTGTATTCGAGAAAGAGATGCATTGTTCACAGTTTTGTTCCACGACATTGTCACATATCATTGTATTGTTGTTTAGGACAGGGTTAAGGTTGTCACAGGTACACAAAGCAAGTTGAACCACTTTCTGTGGACAGAGAAACGCTTTCAGTCTTTAAAGTGATACTGCACACAAATGTGTGCTCTGTGAGGGACGGCGGTGTTACAGCCTCGCCTCAACCCCACTTGGGCTGTAACAGAATCCCAATGAGCCTCCCTCAGGGTGTGTTATGCTAAGAACCCTCTTTGTTGGGGGGTGCGACCAGCATATGGAAGGTTTGGTCAGGCACACATAATGCAAACCTGCAGAAACATCAGTGGAGATGCATCAGCTGATGTATGCAGCTAGCTTGTAGGGTGGATGTAGTTCAATGTTTCAGAGAAAGACCTCCTGTTTTTGATTGTTAATATTGCGTCACAGGACCAGGTGAATGAAGGCAACATGTTTGAATCATTGCATCCTCATTAGCTGCAGAGGATGAGACTCCTTTACACCTGGGAGGTATTAGTAAACCACTATTTAAGTCAAGACTAGACAATACCACGACATTTTATTTATGACACTTATTTATTAGTCCTCTTTTGTTTCATTTATTTACACCGGCGCTGAAGAGTCCAATGGCACATATGCGTCTTGTCGGGGAAACAGTTTGTGATACAACCGCTAGGTGGCATCAACCTACTTCAGACATTGCCAAACATGCCACTGTGCATTGATGAACTATCTACCTACTGTAGAACTCTGAGGATCTCTGACTTGGTTTTCCTGTGATGGATCTGTGATGTGGAACAAAGGTTTTTTTATTTGACAATGTTTGTTTTGCTGCTGTGAATACGTGGATATGTAATGGTAACAATAGAACCTGGAGCCTGAAGTAACTGTCTGAAGATGCACATCACATATGTTGTGTGGAGTTGTTTGTATTTGTGGGCCTCTTGAACTGCTGTGTGCTGGATTATCTCCCGAGACAGCACACGATACATCCTTATTTCATGATGCATATACGCGCTTTGTCACTAACTGCTTGGGTGTAACAATCGCGCGAACCCAGAGTTACAAGCATTCAAAAGCACAGTGCGTGAAAGAAAAAGTATTAACATTGTTCAAATGTCTGTGTGGAACCTTCAATATATGTTACTGTCATTGACATCGCTGCTCCTCAGAGCTGAGCGGCTGTCAGGGAGGGTGCCTTATTGTTATCCTTGCAGTCCAAGTAATCCAAGTTGCCTTCACGTTCGTGGTAAAACAAAACCATTCAACTGTCCCATTCATTTGATGTGTCCAACATCTTCGTTACAGCTCGTTCTAATGAGGTTAACTGTAGCTGTTAGTAAAACATATGTGTTGAGGCCAGAAGAGCAAGCTGTTGAACTCTGGTCATGTGCCAGTCTTTAATGATGTCCTGTATTGTCAAATAAAAGAAAATGTGTTGGACAATTTGTCTACAGAAAAACGTCACTTTGTCCTCGTCCTCTCTTTGAAGCTGTATGCTGTCTTTCACTTCATAAAGAGCAGCCACTTACAACAAATGTATGTCAATAATAACCATTAGAACACTAACATCCGACTCATGAATTCTTTATCTACAATTCTTATCACATCTTAGGGGTTTGGATTGAGTCATGCAACTCTGAGGTGTGGCGGTCATTTAGTGGCTGTGACACTGCACACTAAAGGGACTGTTTCAGTTCACTCTCATGGATCAGGTTTGGTTTGCTCTTCTATGTTTGAGCTAGCTGGCAGACTGGATGCAGATATTTTCTCTCAGAGGATTGGTTTACTCTTTAAACAAACTTCAAGGACTGCCTATCCCCCCCTCAGTAACATCGCACAAATCAGGCACATCCTGACTTAAAGCGATGCAGAAAAATGAGTTCATGCATTTGTTACTTCTAGACTAGATCACTGCAATTCCTTATTATCAGGCTGCTCTAATAAGTCTCAAATCTCTCCAGTTGATTCAGAATGCTGCAGCTCATGTATGAACGAAAACTAAGAAAAGAGATTCAATTCAATTTATTTTTGTATAGCCCTAAAACACAAATTTGCCTCAGAGGGCTTTACAATCTGTACACAGACGACATCCTCTGACCTTTGACCCTCACATCGGAACAGGAAAAAATCCCCCAAAAATCTTTAACGGGGAGAAAGGAGGGAGAGCAACAGAGGAGGACCCCTCTATCAGGACGTTAGGTGCAGACACCCACTACTACTATCTTTATTATTATTAGTCTCATTGCTTGCTATTGCTGATACCATTACTGCTTTTGTTATCATTGCTATTCTACTATATCAACTTCTGCTGTTATTACTAGTAGTCATAATGTTTCCATCATTATTCTGCTTACTACTCTCATTATATGAATCATCTGTGATATGCATTGAATGTGTTGTATCTCTATAATGCTGTTCATTCTGTACACATGACATCTATCACACTTCTGTCCATCCTGATAGAGGATCCTCCTCTGTGGATCTCTCTACGGTTTTTTCCTTACCGATGTGAGGGTCAAAGGTCAGAGGATGTGTACAGATTTTCACTCCGAGACAAATTTGTGATTTTGGGCTAAACAAAATAAATTGAATTGAATTACTCTTTAGAGAAAAAGTGCAGGAAATGTACTTGTAAACAAAGCCTTCCAAAATCACAGAACCTCATGTGTCACATTGTGACCAAACGTCACACTTATGACAACACCACCGTGCAAGCCACTCACCAAACCCACAGCAACCCACTCCATGCAGAAGTTGAGTAACAGTCTGCACCTCGAGGAAGTATTTTTTTGAATCACCACAGACCATAAAACCCACAGCATGTACAGGGCTTGTCTGTCCTGGACACAGCTCAAAATGTGTGTCACCTGGACTTTTCCTTCAGGGCTTCAGTTACTGATTTGCTCCTTTAGTCACTGGGTCCTTAGTCAGTCGCATGGGTTCGTCACAAGGAAGTGCCCGCAGGTTTCAGAGGTGAAGACGGTGTGTGTGTGTGTGTGTGTGTGTATTCAGCGTTTGTGTTGCCGTAGGCTATGTGCAGTAAAGCATGTTGGTGCAAAGATGGCTCACAAATATGTCACAATTTCTGTTGATGACATTTGATGATTCATTTAAAATCCATTTGATACTTATATCAGTTTTTTTTAGCATATTTCATATGTGGTGTTCATCTTTTAATATTTATACATGCCATACACCTGTTTAAGATGATATGTTACATCTTTGATAACAATGAAAGAGACTATTTAAGTCGGCTCATGTTGCCATTGCTAACAGGGTTCAGTATTTAGTAGCGAGGACTTTGTATAAATGGCAAAACAGCCAGGCACCAGACTATTTACAGATGTTGAGAGACCGACATCAGTACTATATAGTAGTCAGTCATGTGTAGATATGGCTCTGTTGGATCTGAATCATTCTCAATGTGAAATAAAATGCAACAGATTACCAGGTTCAAAAACAGGTTCAAACACCTTTTAAACACCAAAAGAGGGGTGAATAGACTTTTAATAAACATATGATATCATGAGTAATTCTACATCTACTATAATTTAATCTGCATGTCACAACTTTCACCTAAATCTGTAGTGTATAAAGGGTACAGCAGTCTGTGTTGTTTTCATGATTTGTCCCGATGTGGCCTGGACCACTATGGTAATACATTATTTCAGTTTATATCCTGAGTCATACTTCTGATTTATTCTCTTTCATTTGTTCCTGCATGTCCGTGTTTAATAATGAACTGAATCAGTCATTTTTCTTTTTTTTGGTGAATATCTGGACAAGTGTGTTATGTGTAGGTTGTTTGCGTTGGGGGGGGGGGGGGGGTCTTCTGCTCATTTCTAATGGTTTGCAGTGGTGGAAAGTAACTAAGTACATTTACTCAAGTACTTTTCTTAACCTCTTGAACCCTATAGGCCCCTGATCGAAAATAAATAAAGTGTTACTCTGCAACTACAGGGTCTATTGTACTAATCTTTGTGTCATCATTTGTGAGATTTCTGCATCAGTATATATGTTACCTGGTCAGCGTAAATGAAGATAGAACACAGCTCTTAACATAACTGCACACTTTTAGAGTACGACTTTGGAATGATGCAGTTGCAAACCATTTCCTAACATCCGAACATCACCTGTGCACAGACTGATGCTAATAAAGTGAAGCAGAGCAAAGTTAGAGAGGTTGTAGTGAAAACCAGGTCAAAATGGTTGTTAGCTTAGCTTTTAGCAGAGCATTCTCCTGTTGCGTGGGTATGCAGGAGGAAGACGTTGCCACATGTCCTTTTCTGGTGTTTGTTACGAGGTAACGTCACCCTACTTGTACTTTAATGAGTATTATTTCTATTTCATGCTACTTTATAGCCTACTTCCACTACGGGACATAGTGGAGGCAAATATTGTAGTTTTTACTCCATTTATATGACAGTTTTAGAAACTTCACAGATTCAAATTACAAAATGTAAATCAACCAACAAATGATAATGTATTATTGTACATTAAGCTACCCAGCATGTAAAATAATTAAGATAAGCTCCACCTTAAGCAGCTGTGACATTGAAGTGATAACTAAACATTTACCTGCAAGGTCCAATGAATGAAAATGAGTGATGGGCAAAGGGTAATTATAATGTCATCATGATGTGTTCAACTGTAATCTTGTAAAATGTGTTTTTTGGTGAGAAATCTGATTAAATACAGTATATATATATATATATATATATATATATATTAGTGCTGGGCAAGTTAACGTGTTAATTTTGCGTTAACGCATTCATTAATTAACGCCGACAATTATTTTATCGCTCGTTAACGCATTTTTTAAATTTATTATAATTTATTTATTTATTTTTTTTTTTTTTATTGAAAGACAAGAGACAATACATATACATAACAAGAGGATGACAAGAACAGTGTGATAAAAGCCAGCAAACATCCTATAGTCAGTTGTGTATGTATGTTTGTATGTGTGTGTGTGTGTGAACATGTGTGTGTGTGAACGTGTGTGTGTGTGTGTGAACGTGTGTGTGTATGTCCTTGAGCCTTTTGAGATGGGAAAAAAAAAAAAATAATAATAATAATTAAAAAACAACAAAAAAAAACAGTTAGCGGAAAGATTAACGTGAGACAACATCCGGTTTCTTCAGACGAATATCTGGTTTTCAGAATAAGATGCCAACAAAGTATGAATTATATTCACATTAAGTATAAAACATGCACTAATATATGTGTAAAGTATACACACAGTATATCGCAGGGGGAATTATGAATCGGATCAGTACTCTGTCCTCGCCAAGCTTTTCACTGTGAATGAGTCAGTTAAATATGGACACCATGCACCGTATATTCCATGACATCTTTGTACCGTTAGAAGAGCAAGTTTAGACAAAGTATAATTTCAACATCCATACATCCAACATTCCTCTGCGGGCATCATACATAAACTTGGCTCATGGCAATTGGTGCTGAACGTTCCATAAGTGTGACTGTATGTTCTTGCCATTTACTGTATGAACACAAATGCATCATGTCAACGTGGCTGTGGCTTTTGTTATGAAACAGCTTTTTATTGATGTATTTGGCACAACTGTGTTGGTCTATTGAGAAAAGTTGGAAAACACCTCTTCAATGTGGTGACCAATCTGTAAAAACCCCTTCTTCCTGCAAACACCTCTTTACTGTTCTTTCTGAACATTTAAAACGTTGATGGAAGAGTTTGATGCCATAAAAGTTCAGTTTGAAATAACTTGGCATCCCTCCTTATGTTGACAAAAGGAGGAAATAACAAACTTATTAAATCTTTTTCAAAGGCTTGTTATTTGAATGTCAGTTGGAGCAGTGTGCAGTGTACTTTGCACCATGCGCATGCTGATAAAATATATCTGGGAGAGAGATCTCATCAACCAGACGCTTCAGATTTGATGAAACCCAGTCTGAGCCTGCAGGAACAAAGGGAAGATGACTCAGTCTGTGTGTAATACAGGTCTAGTGAGCGTCATTAGCAGGTTTTTTCCCACCACTTCCTTTGACTCAGTGTCACAGTAGTTCCTTTTACTGAACCTTGGGATCAGATTGTATTCATGCAGTGAGATTTGGTCTTGGTTCAGTTGGGTGCCTGAGCTATAAAACCAGTTTAATCTGGGTGACGACTCAGCACTGAGCTGACTCATGTTGGGAATGCCTGAGTTGCTGAAGAGGCAGATCAGTTTGACAGCACCTACGGGAAGACATCACTGCTGAGACACTTATACTTTTTGTCAGTTGCTGACTTCTTTGTTTTTTGAGGAATACTGTACATTTTAAGGAAGCTGTAGTTGCTCAATGTATTTTATGTGTCGTCTTTGTTTTCTATTTTCTTTTAGTAATGCAGATTCTTAAGCGAGTTGGGATTTCAGTGTTGATCATCCTGTGGTGATGGTCACGTACCAGTCTATTAGGAGAGCCTGTATAAAGAACTTCACATCTGAATGTACATTTCTTGGTGAACTTGTGAAAACTCCAAAACAAGACTAAGTCTACAGCCATAGCAGCTCAGTGCGGCTGTACTTGAGCTGCATTCCAGATAACTCACAGGTCACAATTTTCAGACTTCCAAGTGCTGCAGGCAGAGTTGATCCCATACCCACTATCAGAAATCCGATCAGTACTGCACATGTGCAAGCTAGTACTACAACACGTGTGCTTAACACTCGTATGTACCCTATTTCCTCCCTGTTAATGCTACAATGTGACAACGAATCTGTTGAAATCAGTAGGAGAGTTATCTAGCTGTTAGCTGTTAGCAGTTAGCTGTTTGCTTGGCCAAATAACGGAGCTAACAGCTCACGTTATATCGCAGGGGGAATTATGAACTTCTTTTGTTTTCAGCTCGGTACACTGTATTGGCTGAACCGGTATCGGAAAGAAGAAATGGTGTGCAACATCTTTAGTTCTCGATGCCGAACAAAAACGGTGAAAAACTGATGTTACTTTGGCAAGTGTTCACAAAACTGATCTCTCAGCAGTGCAGCCTCCACATTTTGATAACTTTTTTGCAGAGAAGATAACTTCCAGAGATGGTTTTCTGTAACCAGCTCCCTAATAACATGGTGACATTTTTGTGTAGCGTCAGACAACTGCTTCTTTGTGAAGTCTGGGTTCATAGATTTTTCCCAGATGTCCCAAGCAGGAAGGCTGAGTTAGAGGTTTTCCATTCGACTGTTTCGAGTAGGAGGTTGGACATTTTTCTAGTTACGTGATTTCTGGAACGCAGCATTGAACACAGTATTATGCTAACGTCAGTAAATTAAGGCTCTCATGAAAATGCTAACATGATGGCGATGTTTAGCAGCTATAATATCATTTATATTCACTAGTTTCATTTGTATTATTCCGTCAGAACATACCACAAGGAAGTGCAGTCTCATCTTTGGCACAGCACCTTCACCTTAGAGTGCTTTCATCATCATGATCATCATCATGATCATCTTCATCATCACTATGATTAGCTTTGTCTCCATTCAGAGCAATGTAATACCCTTCTTTGGATCCAAGTGGTCAATCCTATAAATGCCTCTTCACTCCAAACCACATCAGTGTTTCTGTATTCATCGCTAATATTGTTATTTTTTATTTGAGACATTCCTCGTATGTCAGGATGATCACCTGAGAAAGAAAGAAAGAAAGAAAGACAAAGGAAGGGATGCAGCCCCAAAAAGCCATATTTTGTTCAGTTTGCAGACGTTTCAGTGAAGGTAAAGACTATAAGTAATGTATGTCTGTGGGCTATAACCCAGGGTGCCTTTTAACACCTCAAGTATCCACCATCATAAAACGACAGTGTGACGTTCCGTAATATTTCAAACATAATCAAATCCATTGCACCATTGGTATATTTACTTAAACAAAAGAAAGGACACACAAATGACATTTAATGGTTTGAAATGGCTGACAGACCAGACGCTTTCTGTGGCCCTGTTATTAGCCTGCTCCCTGTGATCCAGGTACATCTTTTGGGCTTTTTTGTCACAACATCCTGCTGATTACTCCTATGACGTCATATAGCGCAGGGAGAATTGTTGAACATGTTATTGTGGAGCTTTGAGATGCGATAAAATGAGTCATAGTAATTCCATCTCCTATTAGTATGTTTGATGAAAGTGATTCAATGCATGTTTTCATAGTTACAGATGAAAAGAGTTGTTTGCTGCAGAGTAGACAGCTATGTATGACCTAAGAATTTTGAAATTCATTTTTTTGTTTTATCTTGTGGTTATTTTAAACCAAACTTCCTTTGTTAATATTGTGTTTTTTGTCATTGTTCAACTCCAGACCTGCAGGTTATAGCGGCAGTGACCTAAGTTAAGAATGTTTTGTTCAGCCCAGTTAGGACTGTTTTCCTGCTCTGAGAGGCTTTATAAAAAGAGGGGGCCTGGTGTGTCTGAGACATTAAAGAAGACCCTGTTTTGCATGGAGCCACCTTGCTGCTCTTGTTGGGACAGGAGCACTCACACATAATTAACAGGTGGTCCCCACTGCAGCTGTATCAGTAGCTGCACATCTCAGAGACGGGCTGACTCGCTGCACTCCTTCCTGTCAAACATGAAGATGCTCTGGCTGAGTCTTCTGACTCTCATGACGCCCCGCCAGACTCTTGTCACGGCCTTGCCTCTACGTAGCTCAGGATGGCCCGCAGGACACCACGCTGGACCATCTGAGGCTGACCAGGAGTTTGCAGAGGTATTCATCAGTTTAGACATGGTTTACAGGTCTCTGTGCTGGGATAGTGTTGTTTTATTTATGGGAGTATTATAGCCTCACTACCTTGACCTGAGTGGAGCTTTGCTCAGGTGTGGGTGTGATTTGTTGGTTCAGCTAAATGCTGGATTTGCCTAAAAGCTTCTTAAATGACGTCTCTGTTGGTCCACTGATAGGACCTGTGTTAATACTATATAAGGCAGAATATCCTTTTCCACTGGTCCACAAATTTATGGCAACATATGTTTATGTGGCGATATACGTTAACATTTAACAGAAAAGTTGAAAGAACGTAAACTATTTCATTTGTAGGGAGGTATTGATTTTTTGCCTTTTTTCTTTTAATTTAATAATTTTCTTCCATTTTTACCAAAACTTATATTAAATCAATCCTTGTGAAAGTCCCCATCTAAAGTAGGAAAAACTCATACTACCATACATATGTTATTAATGAGTTTATATATGCTGTTTAGTGAGAGCTGCTCATACCCACAATCAAGCACTAAAATGAGAACAGCATATTACTTCTGAATCTAAATGTCTTGATAAATATGTGTCTTTGTGTTGGAGGTGTCTACAGCTGCACTGTGTTTAACCCTCTAACATCTCCAGTAATCACTTCTTTGGGCTCTTTATGATGAAGAGATAACAGGAAAGGTTTTGATGTTGTAACTTAATTAGATCATTTAACTGAAGTTCAGTTTGATGCATTGATAACGTGTCTGCCACTTGGCTCCACTGTCAGTCTGACTAGACTCACTTCTCAAGAAGGCAGTACAACAAAGCCAGCTGTTATCTTGTGGCGACAGGTTATGGAGTCAGGAGATAATATGTGAGCAACCACAGCCACTACAGAGTCACCTGCCAAGTCAGATATATTTCATGGCTGCCAACCCAGTGTTGCTTTGATGTTGGAAAGATCTTGATCTCAATTTTTAAAATAATTTTCTGATAAATCCCAATAATGGCTTTATTGCCTGAGATCACGCATTTGGATTTTTGTAGTATTTTATGTATTCAATTAAATACTAAATCATGTTTCAGTCAATTTTGTTTCTAGATGCTGTTTCAAAGCATTCTGCACAATTCCAGGAATAATGTACTAAAGTGTTACTGACACCTTAATTGATCTGGGTATTACAATTCAACACGTTCTGAAATGTTCCCCGTAGCATCAAGCATTGGTTTCATATTTGATAAATTGTGTTAAATGAAAAAAAAGGTCAAATATATTTGTATATTCCCAAACTAAGGTATCATGTGACGATACCGAATGCTAGTTCAGGGTTGATTATAAATGCAGTCAATTGATGCAATAAATTCCACAGTGCTGTTATATTGAGCTGAGTTCTCCTGCTTCTAGAGCAGTGCCTACATGTACCAGGATGCACTGCGTTCAAGCATCTGACACCCGGAGGGTCCCTGCCGGCTAAACCTTCTTGCACGGATAATACACTTGCAGCCTCTGCCTCTCTTGATCTGGCTCCAATAGATACGGCTGAATATCTGAGTCAGTCAAAGCTCTGTAGCGTGTATCTTCCAGAACATTCTCTGACCTCATATTTATGAATACTATAGTTTCAAATACAATCAAAGAGAACAATGAAGTTATATTTCAGAGCGGGATCTAGGGCGCATCGCCCCCTTGCTACCCAGAGGCAGAGACGAGACATCTAAGACTGAAACAGCCTGAAGTTCTTCCTCGCCTCCAGCTGCGTCACTGTCACGCCAAATGACGGATCTGGATGCGGGAAGAACCACAGGTTTAGTTTCAATTGACTTCATTTACCATCAACACTGAAACACATAACACATAAAAACATAGAAGGTGGCAGCTCTTCCCTTTTATACTGATTCATTGCTTAAGCAAAATGATTCTAATTATATACAGTGTTTTGTCTGAAAAATGGTATCAGCTTTAAAGAGAAGGATTCATCCGTATGTGGACAGATGCTGGCGTCATTCACATCACATTATAGGTGATTTAGTAAATATCTCACGGAGATAAGTGTACACATTTCTATAGACCTGCAGTGATGAGTCAGACACTATGCCAGCAACAGAAAACTACAATTACATGACATACTGACAATTGTATGTATGTTTAAAATTACAGTACAGCAATATTTGTACTGTCATTAAAGGTTTCAGAAAATGTTTGGAATGTTTACTGTAAAAACTGTAAGACAAGGTAAGGCAAGTCTTTGTAGAGCACCTTTCAACAACAAGGCAATTCAAAGTGCTTTACAGAACACATAAAGGCACATATATAAATATAAGGAAAATATATAAAAGACAAGGCAATCTAAAACGGGGAAATAGCACATAAAAAAGAGTAAAATACAATAAAAGATACAAATAAACTGTAATAAAATAAGACTGATCAAACCATAGAATAACTTTTACAGATATAAACAAAAAGCCAGTGTAAAGAAGTGAAGTGATCCACTTTCCAGGTCTCAGTGAGGACTCTAGCAGCAGTGCTCTGAATCAGCTGCTGTCTGATCTGAGACCTGTGGAGACAGCATTACAGTAGTCTGGTCGGGTCTACTTTTCTAAATGCAGCAGGAACAAAAGTCCTTTAACACTTAATACATTCTTGAATAGATAGTTGGCTGTTTCTAAAATATTGATCTTTAAATGTAGGTCCGTGACAATACCAGGATATCTGGCCTGGTTTGTGGACTTAGACGTTATATTTATATTTATATATTTGTCTTACTCATTAGCTAGCATGACATTTAGAGGCGGACAACAATCAATTGTCAATTGTTTTCAGCATGTAGTTGTTTTTACTCTGCGTCACAGATAGATTGTCAAACCCTGTTGGCCCAAAAAGAAGAAAACATTTAATTAGACACAATGTCTAGAATGTGATTGGTGTACATCTTCTTAGCGTATATTCATTACCTTTAATTGACTGCAGCAATGCAGCCTTTCGCATACCGACTGAATGATCTTTTTCAGGAATATCTTCAGCACTTCTATGGCTACAAGCCCAGGTCAGACAGACAGAGGAGGACTGCAGACACAGATGTAAATGCTGATTGGAGGACAGGACTCTGTGATGAGATCCAGAGGATGCAGCGCTTCTTTGGTTTGCCTCCGACTGGAGAGCTGACCAATGAGACTCTGGCAGTTATGAAGAGGCCGCGCTGTGGTCTGTCAGACGTGGAGCCATTCGGAGAGAGAATCCGCTGGAAAAAGAGCTCCCTCAGCTACATGTTAGGAAGTCTACTGAATAGCAAGCACATCTCATAAATGACTGCAACAATAAAGGGCATCCCATCATGTGAGGCTGTACAATAACAATGATAACATGCTAAGAATTAGCATAGTCTTTCAAGTATGTGGTCATAAAAAAAAGTATTGGACAAATTTAAATTTTGACTTGATTATGCGCTTATTACAACTCATCATGAATGCATGTACCAAATTCAATACCAATTCATGACAATCCATCCAATGGCTGTCAACATTTCACTCAAAACCACAAATGTGTATCTGATGAACTTGATGTTGGAGGAAAAGTCATCATCTTCTGGGGACAGCCTAGTCTTCAGGAAAGAAAGGTCACTTAGGGCTGGTGGGAGGGTTGGTTGATCAACATAGGATTTTCACCCTAAATGAGACAAGGACAGGAGGTTCGTGTCTCATTTAAAAACCAAAACTAAACGCTGACTTTAAACTTGTTACGTTTCATTATGTAAGATAGTCTGCTAAGGGTAGTTCTTATGTATTCATGCTAGTTATGTTGTTATGTCGTTATTTTAACCCAAATAACAGTTTTGTTTTTCTGTATATCGATTAATTCAGATGTCATTACTGGTCGCATGCTGGTCGCATGTCGATGTGTCCTTGAGCAAGACACTTAACCCCAAAATTGCTCCTGTAGCTGTGCCTACGGAGTGTGAATGAGTTAGTCTGACAGGCAGGTGGCACTTAGCCCCTGCCATCAGTGTGTGAATGGGTGAATGATGACAAGTAGTGTGAAAGCGCTTTGAGTGCTCGGAAAGACTAGGAAAGCGCTATACAAGTACAGTCCATTTACCATTTACCATTTTACCTTAACTAAGTGGGTTTGTTGCCTAAACCTAACCAATTGTTTCACAACATTAACCACGTGGAGTTTCTGCAAGCGAGCTGATATGAAATGTATTTAGATTCAGAAACATCGACATTCAACATTTCCCGAGGTTCGTGGAATTGTACAATGCCAACGTTTTTTCTGCCGACTGGGTTGCTTGGCTGCTTCATGGCAATCCCTCCAATGGTTGTTGAGATATTTCAGTCTGGATCAAAGGTGGACTAACTGACCAACAGACGGACATTGCCATCCATAGACCCATGTAACAGCCAATAAAATGCTGTGGTTGTTTCAGACAAAAAGCACAAAATGTGTCAGATTAGTAAAGATGAATTAAATTAAGTGAAGTATTGGTAGAATTCTGTCTTCTATCCTCAGGATTGCTGGCTACAACCTATCCATCCCAACCTCAAAGATTCACAAAATCTTCAGGGCGGCGTGGAAGCTCTGGTCCAACGTTACACCAATGAAATTTCGCAAGCGGAGCAGGAAAGAGGCTGACATCGTCATCTCCTTCCACACTGGCGGTGAGCTTTAAAGTGACACATTGGCATAGAGGATTTAGTGAATATAATGGTTAACTGCACTCTCTGTTGCAGACCATGAAGACGGCTCATCTTTTGATGGCACAGGAGGAATCCTGGCTCACGCCTTCCTGCCTGGGTTTGGTATCGGTGGAGACGTGCACTTTGATGCTGATGAGGAGCTTCAATTCTACTGGTACAGTACTAGAGTTAGAAAGTTCACACACTTCAAAAAAACAGCTGCCAAAAACAAAAGCGTTATCCTCTTCCTGTTTTGGTAACACAATGGTTGAAGCACGTCCTTTGTTCCTTAAAAGGAGCCCTCACTTTCCCAGGAGATCGTACCAGGTGGCAGATAGAATTGCATAGTGACAGCGAGGCTTATGGGAACCAATGTAAATGCAGATAGTGTCATTATTCTACAGCCATTACATTGTGCAATCAACATTTACAAGTTAAAGCAAATAATGCAAAAATTCTAAATTCAGAGCATATCTATGATTGAGGAATTGCCACCTCATGGTTCTCAACATGGCGAAGGCTGCGTCGGCAGCTAGGAGCTAACAGTGCTAACAGCACTAACAGTGCAAACAACGGCATTGATTTTACACTGCTGTGAATCAATGCATCACATTTTGTTTCCTAAACTGAATATGAATTGGAAAATAACCACACCCTTTGCCCAAATTAAAGTATTGCACGAGATATCTTTAACAATATATCGCCACAGATGTTACGTCACAAGTCTGAATCTAAAAGAAGACTTTAGGTTGATTAGCAGCAGCACAGGCGTGACAGATTTCCTGATTCTCTCTCACTGACATTTATGTGACCTGTTTTTTGCAGCTTTTCTAAGCCATAAAACTCTCACAAGGCTTGTGTCCCTGCTCCAGGTTTCAACCTATTGGCTGTAGCGGTCCATGAATTTGGCCATGCACTTGGCCTGTCCCACTCTTCTGATCCCGGCGCTATCATGTATCCAGCATACAGCTTTGCCCCCAATTATGAACTTCAGCTCTCCTTCAGGGATGTCAAAGACATCCAACACCTTTATGGTCAGTTCAGCTGATGCATCATTTCACTGCTTGGATTCGGAAAGTTTGCTTTTTCTTTTCCAAAGCAGACAAATAGAAAATGTAATACAATGTAATGTAATGAACATGTAATGTCAAACACTCTGACTGCCTTGTGAGATACTGTATAACATGCTCGATTTAAAACAACCTCCTCTTTGCGTCCTTCCAAATGGATAGTGTATTCAATTTAATATACACTTTTATATTGGAAAGATTTTGTGTGTAAAATATTTACATGTGGGTTTAGTTAAATGGTTACACTTTTGTAAACAAACAATAATTAGTTGTAGATAGTTTATTCACAACAATGTGTTTGGGAACCAGCCCCCAAAGCTAAAAACAAGAACATCATCTTTCTAATGTTTCATTATTATTCTGTTGAAATGTGTTCAATTGCAGTGACGTCTTAAGATAATAACCACATTCACAGCTTAATTTTCAAATCCAAGATCTTACAGGCTTGGATTGTATCTTTTTTAAATCTTCTGGCATATTTTCATTTCATTTTGTTGGATTTCAGTCGATGCCTTTAAGCGTTTTAAACTATTTTCAGTCTAAAAAGAATACATAGGAGAGTTTGCAGCATACAAAAATAATTGCATAATCGTTACATCACATTAACATATGCAGTTTATTACATTAGTCATTAAATTGTGTATGTAAGATCACATACAATCTGCTAATGTAAATTAGCGTATTAGCTGACTGAAGCGGTTCATTAGGAAGACCAAGATCTGGTCGGAGAAAGCATCAAAATGGTGTGAAAGTTTTTCTATAATTCATATTTGATGGGAAAACTAACATACTACACACAAATATCTACTAATCTAGTAAAGTATAGTAAGGCTTCAGTCCTATCATCTTGTGAATGTTCCATCATAAGAGGACCATGTCGCTCTTTAAACTACGTTACCAGACTTCCTATTTTACTCCTAACGTAGAGCATCTACATTTGACGCATAGGGCTACTGACCCAGCTAACGAGTTTGGAGTGAGAATGGGCTGGTTCATAACACATGAACTATGACTTTGGCCTGGAAGTGATTTGATTATTTGCAGATGATATATTCTTGTGTATAACGGTATTATTGCACTTGACAGGCAGCTTTTATTTGATCCTAAATTAGTGAGCTGGGGACATTTCACAATGCAGGTTTGTTTGTTTCTGTCAATGCGGCACTTGAACTGTTAACTTCTGTTGCCTGCAGGTATCAGTTCCAATTTTGCTTCACTATCTTCAAAAAATCCTCCTCCAAGAACACCTGACAAATGTGATCCAGACTTGTCCTTTGATGCTGTAACAGAATTACAACAAGAGGTCCTGTTCTTTAAAGACAGGTATGTACACTGTCCCAATATATCTACAGCATGAGGGATGACAGACAGACTTGCTTCTCACCTAGTGCCTCCTTGGATACTACGTATATAAAGTAATAATGGAAATGTTTAAGATAACTTTATGCCTTTTCAGATTTATGTGGCGCAAACACCCTCAGTTTGATGAAACAAGAATCACCCTGATTAGCAGTCTGTGGCCAGACAGTGTTCCTCCAAACGTGGATGCTGTCTATCAGAATGTGGAGAGCAATGTTAAGTTCTTTTTCAAAGGTAAAATAAAGTAATATCCCCAAAGAGCACCTTGAGTTGTGCACTATGCACTTTAATTGACTTTTCAAATGTAAAAAGCAGGTATACCCAAATGGTTGATATGAAATATACTGTATCTGTAAATGTGAAACGGGGGTGCTTTTGTTTCAGGTCATCAATACTGGGTGCTGAGGCAGTTAAGACTTGAGGAGGGTTTTTCCAAGAAACGTATCGGACTTTGGCTTCCCCTCCGGAATAAAATCTGTAGATGCTGCTCTTTACTTCAGAAATGACCACTACACTGTGTTCTTCACTGGAAACCAATGTTGGAGGTATTTAAGATTCTATACACTTTCCCAAAACTACTTCCTAAGCTAACCGCCTGCTGGCTGTACCCTTGAATGCGTTCCATGAGTCTTGAATGGTGCACGGCTCTCAGTAATTTGGGTAAAAAAGATCTGGGTGATTAAATGAGAAAGAGCTAATTCGCTAATTCAGGGTCTAAAAGAAAAGCTAGTGTAAGGCTGTAAGCGAACTACACCACGGTCACATGAAAAGCGGATTGTTGTTCGGCGGGATGACATTCAGTCGTCTCATTAGGTAATTGAGAAACCATCTATTTTAAGACATGTAAAAGCTCCAAAATTCATAAGAGGTTATTTACTGACCTATTTTATGTCATAGAACCAAATGTTAATCTTATTTCAGGTATGTAACCAAAAACCCATTCAAAAAACCCATTGACTTCAGGACGAGGGAACCAGAAGTGTGAAAATGCTGACTCATTTGCAGGTTTTAGGACTCATTTCAGCAGCACTCTATTACTATCAGACATTGTTGTGGCAAAATGATGAGAAGAGACGACGAATTGAAGTTGCAACCAGCTGGGAGTCTTTCAATACAAACAAGCCAACATATTACAAGTTCAACAAATCCTAATAAAATTCCCCCGTATTACTTTTCACAGATTACTATTATAGTCAAACTTTACCCCCTTACATCACTTTCCACCAATCAAACAAGTGGGTTGAACCACAAACAGAGCACATCTGATTTTTTCATTATGTCGTGCTCTCCTGACTTCGTTTGAGTCAAGGTAACCTTTTGGCAGAACACAATCTTTTGGCAGAACACACGATTCGTTTACGGGGAATGTTTGGATACAAATAGGGGTGATCGCTTACAATTTGTCTGGTGCTTTAATCTCTTCCTAAGAATGTTTTTATGAAACCCAGTGTGTTCAACATAAGTTATATAAACTGTTTACTTGTGAATCCAAATGTGTTCTGTTCAATCCTAAGTTATATGATGATTTTCTTCAACAACATAAACCATTTTTTAAGCATCATCAGGTGAACTATTAAATTAAATTCCATGTAATTAATGCGGCATTAACTATAAAAAATAATACCAGTTTTGTGCAAACAGTAAACTAGACTGGAGATCACAAAACCTTCTGCTCCTAAATTCAGATCAAACTGATATGCTGGTCAGTGGCCCAGCTCAACATAGATACAAGTTAGATACTGACTCTTGACATCTGTCTTTTGATGAGCACATTATAACACTTGCTTAGGTTTTGATGTAATGAAAATGTACACATTTCCTGTGTGAGTAATGGCTTGCTGTCACTGGCTTTGCTATGTCTCATCCCATATGGGTTTTTGACTTTCATTAGACACCATGTGAGATTGTAACCTACTAGCAGGAAAACAAAGAGACAAAGCTCTACCATGTTTTCTTTGTGTATGATATACAGGTACAATGAGCAGCAGATGACGATGGAAGGATCAGCGACACTTATAGAGCAGCAATGGCCAGGGATTCCAACTCCTATAGATGCCACTGTCTTCTATGAGGGTATACATCACCTTCCTTTTCCCCCTTCAGTTTCACGAAGGGTGCTACACATTAAACAACACGCTTTCATCAAATTCAATGTAAAAAAAATGACAGTTAATTTCATATTGACAATGGGTGGTTTATTCACCGGCTTCATTATGTTGTGGCACAAAAGAATATCAAGTCAGATGAATGGTGACTGAGTGAATGAAGGTAGACAGGCAGGTAGCTCTAATCCTTTCATTCTGGCTGAATAAAACCATTGGACGGGTTTATAACAGTCCTGCAACAGCCACAGATACCAGATCTTTTTTTTGTCAGAGCATTTTATTTATTGATGCTTTTGATTGATGTAAAGAGAATTTCAGTAAATGTAACAAAATTGTTTTAGAAAATACATAACCCAGCTGAGCTTTAGTTTAAAGGAGACATTTATACATCAACTCTTTAGACTTTTAATAAGATTGTTCTCGACGGTTTACGAAATGTTATTGTTACAATTTCATAACATCATGGCTGAAAACAGCATTTCATACGGCCAATCTGGCTGATGATCAAATGAAAGAGGTAATTATCTGTGCTGGTAATAGTCCAAATCAGATTGATGGCCATGTGTATTTTGAGCACTGAGCTCAAACTTGTTAATTTTAGCTATCGCAATAATGAATCTTCATTCCCGTCAGGACTTGTTCTCTTCTTCAAGGGAAACATCCACTAAATTTGACCCCAGCTCCAAACACGTTGTGTCCACCACCCCCACTAATGAGCTGCTGGAATGCAAGAAGAGTGACGATGAAATACTGACAGAGAGGAGATAATTGAAGGAAAGGTGCTCCATGAAGCGTGATGACAGTGGTGCTGTGATACCTGCATATCTTCTAAAGATACTCAACTATATATGAAATGTATTTCTGTAGTTCTACCTTCGCATCCCTGGGAAAATGATCCATTATACATATCTCTATAAAACATGAATTTGTGCTTGTTTATTCATCCTCTGAGTGTCTGCATTCAATGGTGTTGATCAATTTACTTGAGACATAAATTGCAAGTAACACTACTGCTTTTTCTGTGTCCACTATTGGGTAACAGTGACCAACATGTAGCTTTCCACTAACACTGATGTACAAAGTCATAGATTTTCACAGACACATCTGGATGGAAAATAACCACCTTTAGTTGACTCACACAGTGCCTCCATGTAGTACCACGCCCATTAATATGTAAAATAATAAACTAACTTTAATGTTCTCAGTAGGAAAGGATTAAACCCAGAGTATTGAATTACTTATTGTATTTCCGGATCTCTCAGAACTTTTCATTTGGAATGTAGGGTGACAGGGCTTGAGTTCATAATGACATGACACAACATGTCAGAAGCAACAACAGCTTGCGGGCCGGAGAAGAGTTTGTAAGTCAAAGCTCCGAGCACTCAGAAACACCAGCACAAAATGCTAAAACACATAGACATGATGGGAAGCACTGCTGTAAATCTTCTCAGAGGAGATACTTGAAATGCATTCATGACTTTGACTTTGAGAAGTAAAAAGTTGTTGGCACCCTAAACATCATTCATTTGACATTTAATGACCTGATGTTTAATGTAATTGATAACATGTTCATTCAGAGTCATCCTTCTGGTCCCGTATGTTGTTTGTCTATTCTTTCTTTTTTATTTGAATAACTACATTACTGATTTTAATTAAATTTGCTGGAAAATCTTTAGATAACACCATCTTCCCCATCGTGCGCATCTTAATCAATTTGCAAATTCAGACATTTCTTTTTGTCAAGGTCAGCAAAACATCATCAACTCCATTTGTTCTGGAGCGTTCACACATATCAAACAAGCTTCTTCAGCAAATGCTATTCTGGCAGTTTTAAAGGATTTGTTAACATTGCAAGATAAGACATATTTCTGCCCAAATGTAATATGAACTATTACTATTTGAGGCCGATCTGGATTCAGATATAAATTCTAAATGTTTATATCTCCATTTATTTATTTATTTTGCAAAACATATTTACAGTCAATCTTTACAGCTGTTGGAAAACTGATGCAAAATAAAACAAATAATTAAAAAAAAATGACAAGATTGTGTGATTATTTAATAAAAATGTCCCCAGGTATAGTCAAATGTTTTGTTTCGTCATGATTACAGTGTGGGAAACTTTTTTTGTTGGGTGTGTAATCCAAGCACAACTTCCTCTCTTGTCCATAAAAGGAGCATTGAGTCACTGGCTGGAGGACGTATTGCTCAACACGCCCTGTTCTCTGCCTATAAATCAGCTACCTGCAGCACAGAAACACAAGTTGGAATCGAGGAAACATGAAGACTTTCAATCTGTGCATTCTACTAAGCCTGGCAGTCACAGTTTACTGTGTGCCAATATCGCAGATTACTGTGCAAGATGAGAATTTCGCAGAGGTATGTATTCTTGCTTTGTCTTTTTCTGCATGCATTCTCACTATTTTGCTTTGTAGTGTATTTGGACACTTTAACGTTCTTGGGATTCTGAATGTTAGGCTGTACAGGAAACACTAGTAGCTCCTGTAAATAGGTTTCTGCATATTAACAGATACCATATAGATTATATTATGTACATTCTGCAGCTGATGCATTTTTAAGTATGACTCCTGTTCTCTCTCTCAGAGCTACCTGAAGAGATTCTTCAACCTAACAGAGGAGACTGGTCCAACTATCAGACGGGGGGTCAGTCCGGTGACCAAGAAGCTGAGTGAGATGCAGAGATTCTTCGGTCTCAACATCACCGGGACCCTGGATACTGACACCATGGCGATGATGAAGAAGCCCCGCTGTGGTGTTCCAGATGGCAACATTGCCCGTTTCTCCACGTTCGGAGGTAACCCGAAGTGGGAGAGAAACAGCCTGACCTACAGGTGAGTGATCTGAAGAGAGAGAGTGTGGGACAGATGAACTGTAGATAGTCTAAGTAATAATATTCTTGACTGTTGTTCCGCCCATCAGGATAGAAAACTACACACCTGACATGTCTGTGTCAGAGGTAGATGCGTCCATAGACAAAGCCCTGCAGGTTTGGGCCAAAGTCACTCCTCTGAGATTCACAAGGATCTACAGTGGCATCGCTGACATCATGATCTCCTTTGGACGCCGATGTGAGTACAGAAGAAGTGTCAGTGGTGGAAGCAGAACTCAGATCCTTTACTTAAGTAAAATTAGAGATAAAATAGTCTAAAATACTCCATCACAAGTACAAGTCCTGCATTCTTTGTTACTTAACTGAAAGTACAGAAGTATAATCTAGAATATTTTTTACTATATTATATTATATTATACTGTAAAATTGTTCTGCATCATATTTTACACGCTCATCATATAGAGTCTTGATCTTTAAAATAAAAAAATAAACAATTAGGACTAGATGTATAAAGTAGCATGAAATCAAAAAATGCAAGTAAAATGCAAGAAGGTCAGCGCATAAAGTTTATCAGCCATTGTTCAGGTTGTGTATTGAACAAATAAATTATACTTCATGCACAGACCGCAAGAACCTAAAAAATGTTTTTAAGTACATTATGTGGGTAATGTACTTTTTTTGGTATTGTGTGATTTTCTTTCAAGTGTATCTCTTTGTAAACTCGTTAATGTTATTACAACTATAATGTACTACATTTGTTATTCTGATTTAGCTGTGTGAGGTATCTATCTTTCAGCATGTCCTATTCAGCTTGTTGACACCTCTGCAATAGTTGCGTATTTGAGTGGCATATCCCTTAATTCCTGACAATGGTTGCAGTGCAGTTACATAATATATATTACTTAACATCACAAAGACACAACAGTCATTCCTCTGTTGGCATGCCAGAGCTTGCAGTCATCTTGGAGGCATCTTTACTATTTTTTAAGGGTTAAGAGACGGTGTTTATTTTAGCTCAGGTTTGTGATCTTGATATCCAACAGAGAGGTTTGTGTTGCGGTACAATAGCAATGAAATGCTTTTGTCTATCCAGTTGATTTGATGCTTTTTACAAAGATACAGTAAGTGCAGGAGAAAACAACATAGCACAAGTTAGCACTAGTTTGCAAAACCTGACATGAGCATGTTCTTCTTAACAGCACATGGTGATTTTTACCCCTTTGATGGCCCTGATAGCACTCTTGCCCATGCCTTCGCCCCAGGACCTGGCATTGGAGGAGATGCTCATTTTGATGATGACGAGACCTTCACTCTCCGCTCAAACAGAGGTGAGTCTTTATATTGATGCACAGCATAGTGTCTCTTTTACCCACTAACAACTGACACTGTGTGTTTTGACATGGTTATAATCATGGAGAGAGGCGTAATAAGGCAGCAAGCTCTGAAGTGTCTTACAGCTGCATTCTCTCTAATGTCCACCAGGGGGCGACTCCTCTGGTTGTATAGAAGTCTATGAGAAAATGACTCTACTTCTCTCTTGATTTATTACCTCAGTAAACATTGTAAACATGAGTTTATGGTCTCAATCTCTAGTTTCAAGTCTTCTTCAATACTGCATGATGTTCATTTAATAAATGATGGTCCATTTAGAGTCAAACAGACCATAAAGCAGGGTATGCTTTAGGGCGGGGCTACCTTGTGATTGACAGGTCATTACCACGGTGTTGTCTAGTCTGGGAGTTGTCATGTCGTGTCTTGTTTTCCAACTTTAACCCTTTCACAATGTGTTTTCAGTTCATGAAAGTTGATTATTAACATTTTGGTCGCCTAAAAACCTCTTATTCTATGTTGTACCTAGCTCCGCCCTCTCATGTAATTTCTGGTAGCAAAAGAACAAGATGGCAACCGCCAAAATGCCGAACTCAAGGCTTCAAATCATAGTCCACAAACCAATGGGTGAGATCACGGTGACTTATATCCAGTCTATCACTGTTACTAACCTGTAGCTCTGTGTTTTCTGCTGCAGGCTTCGTCCTCTTCATGGTGGCTGCCCATGAGTTCGGCCACTCTCTTGGCTTGTCTCACTCTGATGATGCTGGTGCTCTCATGTACCCCGTGTACTCATACAGGAACCCTGACACCTTCGTTCTGCCTCGGGATGATGTCAAAGGCATCCAGTCTCTCTATGGTTCGTAACCAACTGGCTGGATCACACACATAGCATGTGATCAAATTCTCTGACAATCTCTTGTACAACATTTGATGATGCTATTCAACTGTTTGGGCTTTGCGATCCAGGGCTTTCTAAATACTTGGGAACTAATTTTGTCTCTGTTCCAGGTCCAAACCCTAACACGGATCCCTCTGTAGATAAACCTCAGCCCCCCACCACCCCTGATGCCTGTGATTCCACCCTGGTCTTGGATGCTGTTGCCACCCTGCGAGGAGAGATGCTCTTCTTCAAAGACAGGTATTGTAGACACACCGGAACTTCTGAATCCAAAGCCCTAGCATTGTTTTTCATTGTAAGAGCTGTGGCTTATGTGCAAAATGTCCTTGTGTGTTCTCAGCAAGTTCTGGCGGAGCAAGAAACCTCAGCAAAGTCTCATCACAGACTTCTGGCCCAATGCCCCCACCAACATCGATGCTGCCTATGAAAGCAGACACTCAGACAGAATCTTTCTCTTTAAAGGTATGTGATCTCCTTATCTGATCATTTCAAGTTTATCTCAATTTTCTGCTTTTTTTCTGTTAACTTTCTTTTGAAATATTTTCTGCCTGCAGGTAGTAAAGTGTGGGCCTTCACTGGTAACGACATTGTTCGTGGCTATCCTAAAAGACTTACCTGCTTTGGTCTACCAAGAGGTGTGAGGAAAATCGATGCTGCCGTCTATGACGTGGAATCTGGCAAAACTCTGTTCTTTGTGGGCAGCTATTACTTCAGGTGTGTTCAGAGTATGCTGTTTTCAGTATTCTAATTCTTTACTGTTATTGAATGTATCTAATTCCTGTCTGTGTTTCCTCAGCTATGATGAGGCCAGAAAGCGCATGGACCGGGGATCCCCCAAGCGAGTGGTTCGGACCTTCTCCGGCCTGACCAGCAGGGTGACTGCAGCTTTCCAGCACAGCGGTGAGAAGCATTCAAAGCTTGAACCTGAACTGAAAACAGACATTAGCAGTTTTTCTAACAAATGAAGGAAGAATCCTCCTTCATTCTTTTCAGCCTTTAAAAGAAAAGTGACATTTGGAGTACTTATTAGCTTAATTGCTGAGAGTGACATGAGAAGATCCATACCACTTTCTCACCATATCTGTCTGTTAAACATGCAGCAGATTTAGTTACCTTAGATAGCTGTTTTCTTTCTGACCTGCCTTTATGCTAAGCTAAGATAACCGTCTCCTAGATCCAGCCTCATATTTAATGGACAAACATGACAGTGGTATCAATAATTTCATCTAATTTTGTGAAGGGAAGAAGGGATTAAGCATTTTCCCCAAAATGTTAAACGTTCCTATAACTAGCACAGAAACTAACATTGGGTGAATCTGTGTTCTGCAGGTTTTACTTACATCTACAGTGGACCCTACATGTTTGAGTACAGCCTGAGGACGGGGAGGTTGTACCGCGTGCTGAGGAACAGCTACTTCCTGCGCTGCACCAACTAGAGCAGTTTACTAACTACATTGTTAAAGTAGCTGCTCTGAATGTACACTAACTGTGTTAATGAAGTACATTTTAAATATTTCTATTACGCAAAATATTATATTTTCAACATTTAATTGTATAAAATTTATTTAGAGCAGCAGTTTATAAATAAAATGTAAAATATATTTTTTTACATGTTATCTAATGATATTATAGATGATCTGGAAAGCTCTGGTTATGTGTGTAACCAATGTATTACAATATTGTTACTGATACAACAAAAACAGGATTAACAAAGGTCTCCTAATGTTCTTGCAAATGAATAAAATCAATATAAAAATGAACCTTTGTGAAGGCTCTGACGCTTTAATTTTGTGACTGTACTTTATGCTGTTATTCTGGAACGGCTGTGGCTCAGGGGTGAGAGCGGGTCGTCCTTTAATCTCAATGTTGGTGATTCGATCCCCGGCTTCCGCTGTCCACGTGTCAAAGTGTTATTGAGCGAGACTCTAAACTCCCCGGTTGCTTCAGCAGCTCCTTGCTTTTAAAGTTTAGGATGGATTAAATACAAAGGACAGATGTTATGCATGTACCTGCATATGACGATTTTAATACAGATTTATATTCAGCATCAGATGTTTGTAAATATTTATTGTCAGAAAAGAGGATCAATAAGCTTCCCAGCTAGATGCTGTAAGATTCACTTTTTATGAGCATCCACCACAAATACAGTGGAGATAAAAAAGGCCCAAACAGGCACAGGGTCACACAATATAAAAACAACAGGAAGCTCAATGCTCATAAAGAAAAGTGTTAACAGTAAATCAAAAATATTTAAAAAGTAGAAATACTGTTCTCTGACAATGAGGTGCTCAGCCTGTTAGATGGCGTCTGAATGCCTGATGCCATTTGAGTCACAAATGTAGCTATTTAGAAGAATGCAAGCTTATAGAGGTCCTACGTAAACCTTCAGTCCTTCCATTTCTAATCCAGAGAATTCTTAATGCTGCCAAAAATGTCAGATATTTACCCCACATGTACAGTACATACATATTATCTTCTTTTTGAAATGGTGTCAGGACATTGAGTTTGGTCCAGTAACCTTTACTAAATGTGCTAAATTCCATAGTCAGAGCATTTATCAGAGCTTCTCCTGGCTCTGTTCAGATAACCGGGCCAGCCGTGCGTGCCTTTTAGTGTATGTGAGCTCTGCACTGTGCTCTTGCAGCTGATAACACCATCCCGACCGGCAGCGTCATTGCCAGTGTGCGAAATATGCAGGTATGGGCGGGACCCCCTCATTGCCAGAGAGAATTTCTCACACTGGTCGTAGCGTAGCTCCAACCCTCCGGTTCCCCACACTTAGATCTTAGATCCTGATGTTTCCTCTTGTCTGAATCTAAACAATGTGTTCCTTTGGTTCATGTCTGCTCTACATCATGTTGATGCAGGCCCAGGCTGCTATGAAACTCCAAATGTTGTCCTTATCTTACCTCTTCCTCCCCCCCGACTCCCTCTTCCATCACTACACCTATTACCTCTCCCCCTGTTGTTCTAAATGGGCATGTTCAGACATTTGCAGGAATGTTTTATTGCCCCGTCATGCATCTTTTTCTGCTCTTCACCTCGCAAATAAAACACTGAAATTGACTGTTTCCGGAAATAACCAACTAGTGCACAAGTCCAACTCTACATTTGAGCAGAGCCTGAGAGGAAGAATAAGTAAAGTAGCCGGAGTTGTTCCTTCTTCTCTGCGGTAGACAAAAACAGGAACCATGGAACCTGCACTGGCTGTTAAAACTGTGATGATAGTTGTGATTGTTGCACTCTGTGGAGCTGTGCCCACCACTTCACCCAGCCACGAAGAGCTTGCTAAAGCCCAGGTAATCATGAGGTGTTTGTTGCTGGTATCTCACCTGCTGATACAATTGAGGGAATCAGTTTTTCTCTGTGATTCTGTCAAATCTATTTGATTTGTTTCAAAGCTGTCAAACAATGAAGTTACACCCTATTTGAAATTTTGGAACATGAAAGGAAAAAATGTGCTTCCCATTTTCGGAAATCTATTTAAAGTCAGTTTTCCAGTATTACAGATTGGTTTGAACAATTTCCAGAGCTGCACTTTGTACCAGACACTGGCTCAGTTTTGAGATGCAGAGAATCTTTAAAGGAACAGGGTGCAGCATTTACTGGGATCTATTGGCAGAAATGGAATATAATATAATGTGTGTATAATCACATGAAGATAACCTACCCTACCTTTGTCCAGTCTCTGCTGGTACTTGTGCAGCTGCACTAAAACACACACAGAGCAACATTTTAAAAACAAAACCAATGTCAGGGCCATAGGTCTAGTTTATGTGACTTTACTATGAAATACATATTTATCCAATAGTCAACAATTAGCTTTTATCTGTTAATTCAATCCACTCTGATTGATTTGCTATTTTGCTGTGCAACCCGGTGTTGCAGAATGACAACAAATGATGATTGAATTTGAGATCGTATCATCCAATTTTAGATTTCAGTAGACAATGAGCGAGCATTAGACAAGGTAGACTAAGAAAATAAGATAGAAAAAGTGAGCGTACACTTTTTGACTAATGCAGAAAAATATACAGACCACAAAAAGTATCAAAAATTGGTTTTGATTTCATGAAAATCTATAGGATTATAATTTATAAAGTAATATTAAAAAATGTTAATGTATCTTTTCTGCATAATCTGCATTGATAGTTAAATTACTTTTCTGTCAGATTAATCATATTCGGAGATCTTTTTGAACATGAGAAGTGTTTCTTCCCGTTGTCTTTGTCCAGGACTATCTGTCTGAGTTTTTCTCTGATGTGGGTGTCAGTGCCCCCAGCAGTGTTCGCCGCAGCTCTCTGGATTCCTTTGAAGACACTCTCAAAAAAATGCAGGAGTATTTTGGCCTCGAGGTTTCTGGGCAGTTGGACTCCAACACCCTGGAGGTGATGGCTCGCCCCCGCTGTGGTTACACGGACGTGACCAGATATGGCCACTTTGAAGGTCGACCGAGGTGGGACAAGACTGTGGTCACATACAGGTACGACACAAGATCTCCGTGTCAGGACAGAGAGCAGCAAGTCTGTGCGAGATCTTCATGCAAACATAAAGCACAATAAAGCTGCTGTTGAGAGATTTGTAAACCATTTTCCCTGTCACACCCCGCAGGATAACGGACTACACACCAGACTTGAGTCAAAGTGATGTGGATGTCACCATAGCCAAGGTTCTGAAACTCTACAGTGACATCATTCCTCTGGATTTCCAGCACATCCACAGCGGCACCGCTGACATTATGATCATGTTCAAGGCTCGAGGTAATGCAGGGCCTTCAGTGTCTTTGAGAACATGTCTGATTTAGTGTTAACTATTTTCTCCTCTCGAAACCAGACCATGGAGATTTTGCTCCATTCGACGGGGAGGGTGGGGTCTTGGCCCACGCGTTCTCCCCTGGACAGGGCAATGGAGGGGACACCCATTTTGATGAAGATGAGAGCTGGACTCTTACCTCAGCAGGTGCTTACATTAAGAAAGCGTTGTCATTTAGGTGATGTAATGCTACAGCTGATTGTAGCAACGTCCTACAGGGGCAATAATCACAATTTTGAGAAATAAGCCCATGTCGCTGGGTGATTATGTATCCACAATTACTTTGGTGTGTATCTGCAGGATCCAACCTGTTCTTGGTGGCAGCCCATGAGTTCGGCCATGCACTGGGATTAACCCACTCTCAGGTCAAGACGGCCTTGATGTATCCAACCTACCAGTATGTGAACACAGAGGGCTACATGCTACCAGATGACGACAGACAGGGAGTACAAGCTATCTACGGTGAGAGCTACTAATTCATATAGACAGATTTTTGGGGACATCATCTTTCAGAAACATCTTTACCTGTGCCATTTCTTTATATTTTATAGGAGTCAGAACAACATCATCTCAACCGACAACGACAAATCCGCAGCCCACCAACAAACCTGTGCCAACACCACAACCTAGACCTGAACCAGATCCTGAAACCACATCAGAACCTCCTCCAGACAGATGCAACAGGAACCTGATCTTTGATGCTGCAACCTCCATTCAGCGAAGTCTTTACTTCTTCAAAGACGGGTGAGCCATTTATGCACTATTTGTTTTTTATTTCATCATTTGAGTTTTACAACAACATCTACTTCATGTATTATTCATGTGCTATCTTAAAATGTAGATGCATAGAGTTGGGTTTCTTTTCTCAGTATGGGACCACCGTCACTTTATCATTGGATTTTGTGTTACTTTGTCAGACATTTCTGGAAGAGGAGCAGCTCCTGGGACGGCATCAGTATGCACAAGATACAGTCTGTCTGGCCTGGAATCAGCAGAGTTGATGCTGCTTATGAGTATAAGAAACGCAATACTGTCATTTTCTTTGAAGGTACAACCTTTGGTTTAATAAACTTGGTTAATAATCCACAAGTATCAAATTAACAATGGGACCAGAAAGGAACATAACTCTACCTTATTTGTGTGACAGGGGATCATTACTGGAGGATCAGAGGAAACGCTGTCCTCCCTGGTTATCCCAAACCTCTCAGCGACTTTGGCCTCCCTCCATCTGTCACCAAGGTAGATGCTGCTGTCTATGTGTCAGTCACAGGCAGAACCCTGCTCTTTGTGCAAAACAGATACTGGAGGTGAGTAACATGGATAGCCATAAACATCTAGGCTGAATCCCGATACAGATGCCACATGTTTAAGAACACCTCCCTGTGTTATTCATGCAGCTACAATGAAAGGAGGGGCAGAATGGATGGTGGGTACCCGAAATCCATTCGCAGAGAGCTCCCTGGGATCGGCTCCAGAGTGGATGCCGCTTTTGAGAACAGAGGTAGGTGACAGTAGCACAGCAGCATTATCACTTCCTGCCCAGGGAGGTACTAATCATGCATCATCCCTTTTCAGGTTACCTGTACTTTTCATATGGATCAAGTCAGACAGAGTACCACTACCAACGAAGAAGAGCGATTCGCACTCTGTTAAACTACGGGTGGATGGATTGCAACTAAAGAAACAAAGATCCAAACACACACACTCACACACCTGTGAGCACACAATAATAGCTAGCTCTACTCCACTAACTAATCCTGAGTAGTTTCAGGGGGCTTTTCTGTAGAACTATGCATGGGAATACATCATTAGAATAATCAAATACAATATGAAATAGTATAATAATCCTGTGGGCAATAACTTGCTATGTAGTCAATGTGTTTTCTTGGACATACATCAATTAAATATGATTCAATCAATCTTTAAAAGTGGAAAACATCAAGGACTTTAAATGCATTAGGAATTAGGATAAATTAGAATAAAGGTTTGCTTTGAACCCAGGTGAGGAGGAAACCATTTCTCTTTCAGCAACACCTCAAAAGAGTTGTTGCAAGAGGAAAACCCATGCACATAGTCATGAAAGGGTAACTTCTGTACCCTGAGCCCTATTTCCCCATGTGTTTGAGTCTAAGTGACTAATGGGGACAACATTTAGTGTAAACCGATCCAGTATTGAGGTAGAACTGTGTAACGACCTGCAAGGGCAAGTGAGCATCATCAATGTAAGATTACGTCTACTAAAAGGGCTTGTTGTCGCCACTACAGGCTCAGATTGTTGTTACAAGTTTATAAGTTTATAAGTTTGGCAACATTATGGAAGGAACCCTGCAGAGAAATACACTGTTCTTTCTTTTTATCTGCAAATTACAAATTTTAATTTTTCTGTTTTGAAGAGAAGAATGAAGAAAGGCAGAAATGTGACCCAGAAGTAAAGTATCAAAATAAATGCCAAGAGGATAGAACGGCCACATGCAAGGGTCAACTTGGAAGAAAATTTCATAAAAATAAATACAGTACCTACATGCATGTGTTTATTGTGTGGCAATAAATAATGATAACTGAGAAATAAAGAGACATTTGGTTTGTTCTTGCTCATCGCCCTTACATTCACTGTTGGTTATGTTGTGAAGAAGGGGTTTGATCATGACATGGGGGAGTAGAAACGCAGTTTGTAGTCACATTTTGATACAGCAAAAAACCACACAAAACAGCGAAGCTATATAATATGGTGGAGGGTGGAGGATGACTTTAGGAGTCAACAAACAACATTCTGCTGTAAGTGTTGATACTCTCAAGATGTGTGGGGGCTGAGTGGAGGGCAATGAAGTTAATAATTAGTTGGGTTTTGGAAATGGAATGCAATGGAAATTGGGGGTCTATACCAGGCCGTCCATCTTTCACTAAAGTAATCCGACTGAAATATTCACGAAGATCAACTGTGGCCTTTGGGATTAGCATTTTAAAACATGTGTGTGATGACATTGCATGCGGGAAAAACAAAGAAAGCGCATGACTACGTGGGGTGGAATGAATATAACCCCTGTGCTAGTATAAACTTTATCTTTGAATGAATTCATGGTTCCAAAGAATGAATGAAATGATCATTCTCTGGTTAATATCCTTTGTTATAAATAATACTCTATTTTCCAGACTGGCTTCCATTCAGTTTTCTTGATCACGTATCAGTGCATGTTGTTCAGTGACACTCTCTAACCCAGCTCAACAGAGGCTCCTTTTCACGCGAGATTTGCGTTGCTCAGCAACCGATGACAACATCTCCATTGATAACACTAACGCCATTGCAACGCTGGTTGTAAGGATTCACCGAGTAGATATAGGTTAGCGTTATATTGATTTTTCAATTCTTATAATGGAGGTAAGTGCTATTCCTGAGGCCTTTGTATCAAACGAGTTTAAAAGGCAACTTAACGTTGGTGATTATATGTTACATTATAGTTGTAACATAACGTTAAAGTGTAGCAAGTTATTGTAAGCAAAATACGCGTTACATTTGGCTAATCTGGCGTGGATTTAGACGGCGTGGAGAGTGAACTGTTAGCATGCATCTAGCTTATTACTTATTGTAGGGACTCTGTAGAAGTAACAGACTCATGGCGAGCCTCGTTCAGCTGCATAGGCAGGTTCAGAGGGGGGGGGGCAGAGAGATCCGAAGAAGAGACACACATTTGTTTAACATTAGTTTCAGCAACCAGCTGCTTTTGTTGTTTTGGGCAGTCTTCTAACCCGGTGTTCCCGGTCGATATGTGTTTCCTCCTACGTTAAACTGAACCAACCCGTTCCTAACCGGAACCACTGAACAGAAGGGAAACACTATTCCACATAACACCTGTCGTTAGCCTGAACGCTGGGGTGATAAAATCTGCTTCTCCAAACAAACTTTAACAGCCGTGTCCTCATTCTCAACTTTAAGTTCCAGGGTCAAATACAATGGCAACACTTGAAAAAGGCCATTAGGTCCAGATTTCAGTAACGTCAAGTAAAGTACCCTCAAGTGTACTAGATAGACAGATAGATAGATAGATAGATAGATAGATAGATAGATAGACAGATAGATAGATAGATATATAGATAGATAGACAGATAGATAGATAGATAGATAGATAGATAGATGGATAGATAGACAGACAGACAGACAGACAGACAGACAGACAGACAGATAGATAGACAGACAGACAGACAGACAGATAGATAGATAGACAGACAGACAGACAGACAGATAGATAGATAGACAGACAGACAGACAGACAGACATACAGATAGACAGACAGACAGACAGACAGACAGACAGACAGACAGACAGACAGACAGA